TTCTCTCCCTTAATTTTGACCCAAATGCTCTCACTTTGGCTTTGAGGTTCTAAATCTTGGATCTCTTCACAGGTATACACATCCCTGACATATAACGCCACTCCTCCTCCTTTCTTGTCCTTTGAAATAGATTGTATCCCTCCATTATTACATTCCAATCGTGGGATTTATCCCACCAGGTTTCAGTGATTCCTATTATGTCATATTTAGTTTGCTGTACCAGGAGCTCAAGCTCATCTTGTTTATTTCCCATGCTTTGCGCATTAGTGTACAGACATTGAAGTCCATTAATCATTCCCCCGTGTCTCTTATTTAAGGATTTTTTCCTCCCACCACTAGGTCTGCATGCTCTTTGCTCCATTCGGTCTATGACATTTGGATGATCATCTTCATCAATTGATAGACTCCTACCTTCAGGAGCACTGTCTCCCTCCCCCACATTAGTCAGTTTAAAGCCCTCCTGATGAGGTTTCTGAGATTTTTTGCAAAAACATTCCTCCCAACCGTTCTCCCTCTGTTAACATGAGGAGTGCCAAACATGAGGGACTGAGTATGGAAAAGGCAGGAGGAGGGGTTGTAGTCTAGCAGGCAGAGGTGAGAAAAGCCACACTTGCAAGTATTAAAGACACAGAAGCTTGCAGGTGCAGCTATTCTCACCTCTGCATGCCAAGGAGCACCTGCCAAAAATTCCCTCTTCTGTGCAGCCATTAAAGGGACAGCAGCCTTGTTTTCCTTTGCAGCTAGTCCTTGAAGGATCGATAAGAATTACTTTCTTCTATATGTCTCCCTGTGGTTCTCGCTAGGGTTTCTTCCCCAAAATGTACTATGCTTTAACTGTAGATGCCTGTGGTTGATATCGCTGAGAGTAAGCTTTCATAACCTCCTGTCTTCATTGCAGTGGGCTGACCCAGAGCTCATCAAATTGGCCTGTACAGTCTTACACTTACTATGTTGGGTGCTGTGTTTAAATGCTGGAAGATGAGACAGGTTAACTTCACAGTGCAATCTTGTGTGTATTGACTTCTTCCTAAATTCCCATTTTGGTTAGAGCAACTAAGGACAAGGGGCTGGGCACAAAAAGCGCCAAGATAAGCTTAGGGTTTATAATCTTCAAATGGAGAACTACTTAGCCCTTAGCCCACGTGACCTTAGAAATTGGATTTTTGCTCAGGATGCCAACCAAGACAGAGCATCCATCATTGCCCCCCATTACTCTACTTGGTACCCCCAAATTAAGACCAATCACTCAAGGCCCTGTTACCTTGAGACTCTGACCTTCCCACAACTACACAGGGCCTTTGTAGAAATAAGATTCCAACAGATGCCCTCAGCATACTTAGAGGGGAGATATAGGGGAATTCCCCATATGGATCGCAGATGTATATGTGGATGCAATCAGGTAGAGCACATTACACCCTATCTGCTGATTTGCCCCCTGTATACAATGCCCAGAGGAAAATTTATATTGCCAATTCTTAATTGGCTTCCAGGTTGATCCACACAGGAAGTGACAGTTGAACTCCTAGCAGATAAACATCTATACATTACACACCAGGTAGCCAAATTTGCGCTGGCAGCCAAGAAGCTCCGTTCCAACTATGTGAACACACTTCAATCTTAACTGTTAATGTTTCTTTTATGTTGTAAACTGTTACAGGTTACATTGTATGGTTTTAGATGAAAGTTTTTCCTTACAGTGGTGCCTCGCAAGACGAAATTAATTCATTCCGCGAGTTTTGTTGCCTTGCGATTTTTTTCATCTTGCGAAGCACGGTGTCGGAAAAGTTTCGGAAAAGCTTCAGAAATCACCAAAGTCTTCAAAAACCTCAAAAAAGGCTACCAGCTCCTCGAAGTCAAGTCACAACTGTATTAACGGTGTTAAGAAAAAGGAAACAAACTTGCAAGACGTTTCTGTCTTGCGAAGCAAGCCCATAGGGAAAATCGTCTTGCGAAGCAGCTCAAAAAACAAAAAACGCTTCGTCTTGTGGGTTTTTTGTCTTGCGAGGCATTCGTCTTGCGAGGTACCACTGTATATTCTCTGTCGTCCATTGTAAAGGCCTTTGGCTATATACAATAAATTTGACTGACTGGCCTAAATTCCCATTTAGGATTTTAGGATATGCTTGTGTTTTCTGGGAAATCTGAGAGGCTTTTGGAAGCTGTAGAATTCCTCCAGGCAGGGCAATGCAAGCATACATGGTTCCGAGTCCATAGTTAATATTTGTTATGCTGATGTGTGTATCTATTAATTTAAAAAGGCATGCTTTCTTTTTGCTCACCGTCATCATTGAATCTATGAATTTTGCATCGACTGGAGTCACTGCCCTTGTTATGCATTGCACGTCAGAGCTGTGACTCACAGCTATATCTGTCTGCGTTCAAAATCTGACTCGTTCCATAGTTCTTGAATGTGGGGTGCTGATAATCTAAGGACATGCCACTTTGCATTTGATAACATGTTTGCCATGCTACTATAGCTTGCTACTATAGAAAGTGAACCCATGATAATTTATGCATGGTCACACAATGGGCTGTGGCTGCTTATTGTATCATATCATAAATGAAACAGTGGGATGTCCCTAAATACCTGTTGATGTCAGAGCAAAAGCCCCAGCGAAGGGTCCTATTTAATCCCCAGTCCTGATAAATGTTTTGCTGCTGTTAGTAGCTCATTGACTATCTCACTTTGCTCCTAGCTTGCAAAGAGACATGAATTCAAGTGTAGCTGAATCGCAGGCTACTGAGATTTTTATCTCCTGCAGCCCCAAAGAATGGTGTAAGAGTTCTGATTTCTCAGATATGAACCTTTGAGTCCATTGTTCCCTAGTGTTTTCTTAGTTCTACCTTCTCTGCTACTATGGATGCTGAATACTGGCATTGTAATTGCTCATTCACCAGTGGTAACAGCAAAAGCAGGATAGCTCAGTTGGTTAGAGGGTTAGAGGTTGATAATGCCAAGGTCGCAGGTTCGACCCCTGTATGGGGCAGCTGCCTATTCCAGTATCCTGGGGGTTGGACTGGATGATCCTCAGGATCCCAACTCTACAATTCTGTGATGGTGCTAGACAGTGGCTGGTGTGATGAACTGCTTTGAGATTCATTCTTTAAAATATAAAGTGGTGTTGAAATGAAATTAGTTATAAGAATAATTTTAGTCATAAACTTCACTGCAAAAAGGCGACTAGACTGTTGGTTGTGGTGACCATAACCTAGGTTTAAGGTGCCATTTGGCAATTAACTTATATACAGCGGTACCTCGGGTTACATACGCTTCAGGTTACATACGCTTCAGGTTACAGACTCCGCTAACCCAGAAATAGTACCTCAGATTAAGAACTTTGCTTCAGGATGAGAACAGAAATCGTGCTCTGGCAGCCCGGCGGCAGCGGGAGACCCCATTAGCTACAGTGGTGCTTCAGGTTAAGAACAGTTTCAGGTTAAGAACGGACCTCCGGAACGAATTAAGTACTTAACCCGAGGTACCACTGTATCAGAGTTTCTAACACTTGATGCTGGTCTCTGGTTACTGGAGGCTGAAGTTCCTCCATGCAGACCCCCCCCCCAAATGTTTAGGTGTACTCTCATTTTCCTACTCATATTGAAATATTGTCCCTCATTGAGGCCAAACTTAGATTCACAAAATGTTTAGGGGTATGCGTACCCCCAGAAAAAAGCATCTTATTAATACTTCTGATTAGAATCATTAAGATTTACATATACTGGGTCAGTTCATACACTCATCTGCCACATACCTGTAGTAGAGGCCACCGCTTAACAAAAGTTGCCATGCAAGTGAGAGCTAGAAATTAATATACCCCAGTGGGTTGGTTTGGTTAAAACTCTAATGCAGCCATAGTGAACCTGACCAGTCACAAAGCTTCCCAAGACACATAATACTGAAAACAACACACAGTTGTGACAGCACAGTTGGTTCTAGTGAGATGATGTTGTGGTACAGCTTGACCCGAGTACATCTTCGACCACTCAGCATTTCCTTAGGACTGAGTGTACTGCCAAGACGATATCACAAAACATGCTGCTGTACTGGTGTTGCAAAGGCTTATTTTATTGGAAATGTTTCAAGGCATTATTATAATAACAAATGAAGCTATGAAATATGGAATGAAATATTTAGAATAAGCAATAATATTTTTATTAGTGTCTGCAAACCAGCAGTTCATATTTAGTACAAAGCTGTCCTAGTATATTAGCTCGAGAGGCTGCTTTTTGTCAATATGAGACAAAACAACAACAGATAAACTTTATCTTCTGCTGTTGCTGTTTCTCATGTGTGCTCTTCCAAGGTTTGAAAGTTCCAACACCTGATTTGTTTTTCCCTTGGAACTGCTCAGGGACTAAATTGTTGTAGTAGTAGGATCAGTGATAATTGGACCCACAGTTTGGTTAAGCTAACATGCTTGGATTTCATAGATTGATTTCAACTGTAGTGCGGTCTGGTTCATGTAGGTTACTTCTGCAGCTCAACCCCGCAAATTTGTTATGCCAGCACAGCCTTTTGGGAAAATGGTATCAGTCCTCCATTTGTAAAAAGGGAGTATGCAATGTTGTTGTGAAAATGAATAGGAGGACGGTACTATAAAAATGGTATGAAGATAGTACAGAATATTATGGCAGATGTCAAGATGTCAAGATGCCACTACCAGACACTTTGCATATGGTCTTATATATTCATCTCTTGCATTATTAACGAGAAATGTGTAAACTTGTGTTCATAGTTAGTACCAGTCCTGAACTGTGTTCATACTGCTCACTAATGCTAACACCTCAGTTTCGGCCGATATTGCAGCTTGAATTCACGAGAGTGCGACTATAAGTCACTCCTGTCATACTAAAAGGTGTTCTACTTTAGCTTCTTTTAAGTTGACAAGGCATGCATCTGGGATTCCTCATACTTCTGACGTGATTGCTTTTGCCATAGGAGCAATCCTGGATAAAGAGTGTTACATGCTTAGAAAAAATACTTTGCTGTTTTATTTCAGATAAGATGGAAAGCTGTTTTCTTACAACAGTGTCTTTTGCTCCTGACCTATCTTGCTATTGCGCTAGAAGCAGTGCCTATAGACATAGACAAGACAAAGGTAAAAGCGGAAGAACAAGTAGAGAATGCAAAAATAGATAATCCGGTAAGTGAAATAAATACTTTGTAATGGCATCAATATCATAAGTATATAATACCATTACCGCTGAACTGATGGAATATTATTTCTGAATTTAAAGTATTAATACTGTTCAGGGCCATCTGTGGCACTCAGGGTCTGAATTTAGGTCTTCTTCTTTTTGTTAGCTTTGTGAAAATATTGTAGAGATAAAAAAGAAGAAAATTAGAGTGAGGAAATGAACTAACCGGACCATTTTGACTCTCAGAGAAAGCAGTTTGACTTCAAACCACTTTATCCAGTGTTTTGAATAGGAAATTTCTCAGCAGAGAAAAGAAATCCTCCATTTTAAAAAAGAGATAAACCATATGATACTTGAAAAGGACTTAATATTTCTGTATTGGAACACCAGACACCAAATATTATTTGGGCTCAACCTGGCTAATTTTAACTTAAAGAAACCATGGGGATCCAGTCACTGACCTTCCCATATCTCATTTAGTTTGAGACCTAAAATTGACTGGGTTCTTAAAGCTAGAAGAAAAACAGAGGAAGGAAAGCTATAGAGAATATCACATATATCTTATTTATTCCCTTATAACCTCTTTCTCTTAGGTACTACTGAGTTTTCTTTATAAACGACATCTCTAAAGAGCTCAGTTAAATCCACAGAAGTTGCAGTTCCCCAAAGAATGTGTATTTATAGCTGCTTCATGTGATTTTTTTTTTTATCTTCACCGCTAGATAAAGCATTATGGACACTGATAGTTAGGTCTTAGAATCACAGCTGGGCTAAAGATCTCACCTAATTTAGTCTGAAACATCTCTATAGAAAGAGAAATGCTTTTCTTCCTTGGCCCTCTTTTACTAAACTGATATTCATTTTCCTCAAGGATACTGGGCTTTATTACGATGTGTACCTCAGGCAAGTGATAGATGTCCTGGAGACAGACAAACATTTCAGAGAGAAGCTCCAGACAGCCGACATAGAGGCAATAAAGGTATGTAGTTTTAACTGTGTAAGCATGCAGCTTGCTTAGAAAAATAAGAGAGAAGTAGAGCACAGTGGTACCTCGGTTTTCGAACGCCTCTGTAGTCGAACGTTTCGGAACTCGAATGCAGAAAACCTGGAAGTAAGTGCCTCGGTTTTCGAACGTGCCTTGGAAGTCGAACAGGAAACACACCTTCTGTTTTGAGTTTTCTGTATTGAGGCTTGCGTTTTGAGGCTTCTGCTTTCGGTTTTTGAACGTTTCGGAACTTGAACAGACTTGCAGAATGGATTATGTTCAAAAACCGAGGTACCACTGTACTCTGGTTTGTCGTTTATAAGGAGGCTAGATAAATTCATGGAGAATAGCTACTGGATCCGGTGTTAGGGAGTATGCTTCTGAGAATTAGCTGCTGGGAATCACAAGCAGGGAGAGTGCTTTTGTTCTCAAGCTCTGCTTGTGGGCTTCTCATAGGCATCTCCCTGGCCACTGTGAGAACAGGATGTTGGGCTAGATGGGCCTTTGGTCTGCTCCAGCTGAGCTCCTCTTATATTCTGATAAGAGCCAGTACACCATACAGGTGACATGGAGTTTGTTCTCAAAGCCAGCAGACCTGATGGGATACCTGCTGGTCTTCAAAGTGGGTGGAATTGAAGTTAGACAACAACTTCACAAGCTCATCAAAAAGGTCTGGGGGAGAGAAGAGATTCCAGCACAGACTTTGGGATGCCTAAATTATCAGTCTCTAAAAAAAGGCGATAAAACGGATTGTGGAAACCATCGAGGCATCTTTTTATTAGCTGTGGACATCAAAATTCTTGCAAGGATCTTAGCAAACCGTCTCCTAACAATATCTGAGGCTACCCTTCCTGAATCCCAAAATGGTTTTCGACCTTCTAGGGGGACAGTGGACATGATTTTCACAGCTCGACAGCTTCAAGAAAAATGCAGAGAGCAAAACCAACCCCTGTATATGGTGTTTATTGACCTGACTAAGGCCTTTGACACTGTAAATCATAATGCTCTGTCGACTGTCCTTCTGAAAATTGGCTGCCCAGATAAATTTGTGAACATCCTTCAGCTCCTTCATGATAATATGACAGCAACAATTGCAGATAGCAATGGTTCTCAAAGTGAACCACTCACAGTGGGATCAGATATTAAACAGGGTTGTGTTATCTAGCTGCTCCTAGAATGTGTGGGAGCACCAGTGTGTGGGGGTTTCTGTGTAGGACTTCCTCCTTTCTTTAGATAAGGGAAGTACTGATTATCTATCTCAGCTTCATGCATTGTGTTCCGCCACCCCTAAGTGAAAAAGGAAGGCCTTCTAAGCATAAGACCTCTCTGTCAGCAACATAGTGCTCACACATCTTTGGACTAAAAATTGGATTGGATCCTTAGCTGGCTTACTGTACTCATTTATTTATTATATGTGGAACCTGTGGATGTTAGACTTTGGGTTCTGTTTTCATGATAAAAGGAGGTAATATGTCCTTCCAGTTGCAACATGTCAGCTGTGAAACGCTTCATCGTCTTCTTTCTGTTGAGAACCTAGTAGAACATAGTTGCCTTCTAAAAAAAATTAACTGAATACTTTTATCAATTGCTTGCTTTATTGACAGAGTGGAAAGTTAAGCAAAGAACTAGATTTAGTTAGCCATCATGTGAGAACAAGGCTGGATGAACTGAAAAGACAAGAGGTTGCAAGATTAAGGATGTTAATTAAAGCCAAGATTGATTCATTTCAAGGTAAGAACACAAAGCAAAAATGTTTCATTTGCCTCTGTTGTTTACAACAGTAGCAGAGATTAATATAAAATAGAATGGCGTAAGAGCTTTGGTGTTTCCTTTCATCTCATTACACAGTCCTTTCCTGTTTGGAAATCTAGGAGAACAAGACAGACCAGTTCTGAGGAAACAACAGACACACATTTGGGAAAATGGTTTAAGAAAAGACAACTATACGAGTTCCATTTTGATATTGTCAAATACTTTTGTAGCTTCTTCATTAATTTCTCTTGAGCTTTGCAAGTTTTACTTCACTGGACTAGCAACATACTTCACTGGAATATAAACACTAAACTATTGATGAACTGCAAAGTACTATCTGATTGGGCCACCTGTTTAGAAAGCTTTTTTGAAAACAAGGTTATGAGAATACAGAGCAAAAATAAAATGAGCTAATACTACCCCTGTAATACTGATTTTATGAAAATGCAGTAGCATCTTGTTCCTAATTTTTGTGTGGAAGTTAAACACTTAACATCGTTTCCCCAAAATGCTTAAATTGCGGATTGCATTGCAATGAATTCATTGAAACAATGTTAATTAATCCATGGACTAGCAGGTATTTCTAATATGCGTAGCAGAAATGTGAGAATTATCTTTTAAGCTGAATGTTGTTTTATGGTTTATGGGCCTAATCCAGCTCAACTGGGCCCAGGATATTGGATGTTTTGGGCAAACCACGCCATCCTTTGCTGGGCCTGACTTCATATATGATGTAGGCAGGGCTTTTGTCAAGTCAGAAGCGGCCGGAACTCAGTTCTAGTATCTCTCAGGTGGGCACCATTGCCATTGTAAGAGAACGAGGGAGGCATTCATGGTGAGTTCCAGCACCTCTTTTTCTAGAAAAATAGTACTTGATGTAGGGTACAGGGAAGTTCCTACTGCAGCTTTAAACTTCAAGCTGTGGCTAAAAGGGAAGGATGCGGGTGGCGCCGTGGGTTAAACCACAGAGCCTAGGGCTTGCCAATCAGAAGGTCGGCAGTTCAAATCCCCACGACGGGGTGAGCTCCCGTTGCTCGGTCCCTGCTCCTGCCAATCTAGCAGTTTGAAAGCACGTCAAAGTGCAAGTAGATAAATAGGTACTGCTCCGGCGGGAAGGTAAACGGCGTTTCCGTGCGCTGTTTTGGTTGCCAGAAGTCATGCTGTCATGCTGGCCACATGACCCGGAAGCTGTACGCCGGCTCCCTCGGCCAATAAAGCGAGATGAGTGCCGCAACCCCAGAGTCGGTCACGACTGGACCTAATGGTCAGGGGTCCCTTTACCTTTACATGGCTAAAAAAAAGAAGAATCGGAATTGCTTTCTTAAGTGCACTTCTGATTCTTCCTTAGCCTCAAAGAGTTAACCCTTGTTGAACTGGCACCTTTTTTTGCTACCCTGCACTTTCTTTTGGATGCAGAGGAAGAATCAGGACTCTTTCTTTTGAAATTAAGTCGCCTGACAACATTTGATTGACTGGTAGATGGCGCTGCCTACCTGTCAAAGTGACCCACAAAGGGAGGAGAGCTTAGCATCTGGTCCACTGGCCGTATCCTGTGTCGCAGTAAAACTTGATTAGAAAAACCACACCTTTTATTGGCAATATCTTGAAAAAATGTCTAAAGAAAATATAGATTTCAGAAAACCAGCTGATATTATGTCCATTATGATAAAATACATATCTTCAAAGTACCATGTATAGTTATCATAATCCAGCTACAATACTTTTCAAAACAGTGACAGTTAATGAACACACACACACAATTCGTGCAAAATCATTTTTCTGTTGCCGCTGTCCTTGTTTTCAGGTGTAGTATGTAGAAATAGGGAGGAGAAAATGTTTTGCAATGTGAAATATGGATATATTGGATGACTGGCCTGTTCTCTACAGCATTTGAAATGCTTACATTTCAATCAGCAGTAAATGGTGCTTCAGGGGAATAGAGTGTAAGGCCAGGCTTTATGAAGATAGATTATCTAGTTCATGAAACAGTTTTCATTCTTCTCTAAAGCAGTTAGGGCCAGTTCACATGATTATCCATTACAGATTCCCCCCCCCCCGACCTGCTTTCACTGTGTTCATGGCAGAAGATAATCTGAATTGTTGCACACCAGAGCAAATCACAATTCTGCTCAGCAAGCATTAGGAAGGTTTGGGATGGAGGGGAAGGGAGAGTTTAAAAGAAGTGCTTCTGCTCTTAAACTCCACACACAGCTGGACTCACCTTGCTGGGTCTTGTTTAATGAAATATTGCTTCTTCTTTAAAAAAGAAAAGTTCACTGTTTAAGCAGACTTTCAAACAGCAAAATTATTTGGATAGTGAGAGGAATATTAATAATAATTTTACTGGTTAGCAGTTGCTGCAGTTAGTGATATTTAAAACTTTTCTTGCTGAGGATTGTAGAGCTGAAAGGGACCAAGAGGGTCATCTAGTACAACTCCTTCAATACAAGAATCTTTTGCCAAACATAGGGCTTGAACCCACAACCCTGAGATTAAGAGTCTGTTGCTCTACTGACTGAGCTATCCAACATGCCAATACAGAGGTGGAAACATGCAAACACCTCTGTAGATGTATACACAGGGGGAGAGGGCATCCAGTTGTGTCCATTCTTCAGTAGAATAGACTTCTGCACACATGGTGGGACTTCCCATTCCTCTCCACCCACACCCCGCTTCCCCTGTCCAATAACCAAAATCTGCATGGGGGCAGCAGGGATTAGAAAGGAAGGGAAAGTCTTGCTGGGCAATGGAAATCCACTACCTGGACATTATCCCACCTTATACATATGTGCATAAGATGCGTATGTGCATACGATGATCAACATGAGGGTTCTATTCAAAGAAAGATAGAAGTCTTTATTTGTAAGAATTGTGTCACATTTCAGAAAGCCATTGGATCTCCCTCCTGCCCCACCAATAATTTCACACCCAAGCTGTGCTCCCTCCAACCTTGCCAAATTCAAACTGAATTAATTTAGAATCTAAAGCCTTCAAGGCTGGTGCAGACATAATATTACTCTGTCTTTTACCCACATGCTTCCCCCTCAGCCTTCCTCATTTGTGTGAATTCCCCCTCTCCTCTCTCTTACACTGCAGAGCAGGGCCTCATCTTAACTACTGTTTGAAGACGGTTTAACAAAAAGCCTAGTCCATTTAGCAGGAAGTAGCCAGAACATAATATAGTTAAGGGAGAAAGGAAGATGCTAGTGAAGGCAGTACAGATTATCACAGCCTGCTTCTGGATTTCCTAACTCTGTTTATTGGGGAACAGTATATCTGCACCTGACCCATAGTTGCATTATACTGGCCTTCACTTCTTCAGAATACTAGCCATTGTTAGACGGCTCAAGGAGGCTAACACTTTTTTCTTTTCCAAATGACACTCCCCATTCCATGGCTTTTGTAAACTGCTGAGCATGCTCAGTCCTCACTGATTCCCCCCCCTGAATTTCCCCCCTTTTTATTTTAAGTTAAATACCTCTTAATTTTACTTCAGAAATTCTATACTTTTGTGTCCCTGGAGTATGTGGAAATTGCCACCTTATTTGTAGGTTAGTTGAGTGACAATCTGCATAGCTGCCAAACTAACACCTAAGTAACATTTGCTATTAGAGGAAATGATGGATATTGGAACTGGTTTAAGTGCAAAATAGTTGTAGTGTATGTCTGCTATAGCATGCATTTTAGTTTCTGCCTATTAAAATTATAGTGTAATCTCTCAACAGTTTGACAGTTGTGTCCTCTTGAGTGTCAATTTTACTTTGGCTAAAGCTCATGTTGAGTTGCTCTTGAGGGCTGCAGCATATAAATGTGTTTTTAAAATATGTTTCTTCCCCAATGCAGTGCCAGGAAACTTAACCTGTTGTCCAATATATATTGATATATGTAGTTAAATCATTTCTGTCTTTGTACGGGTTGTTTTTAGATTCTGGCATAGACCATCAGTTCCTTCTCAAACAATTTGAGCATCTGAACCACGACAACCCTCACACTTTTGAAGCTAAAGATTTAGACATGCTAATCAAAGCTGTAAGTGTTGAGCAAATATTTTCCAGATGCTTGCTTGCTGCTACTGCTGTATTTTTCTTTAGTGGAATCCACTTTTTCTCCCTCCCCCTGCCTCCATTTTGAATAACTTTCATAGTTACCTCAAGAGTCATAGTCTGAGAATCCCATTTGGCTCCATAATGTAATATTGTGCCACAGGAGACATTTATGTGCATTTGAAAACAGTCTGCTCATTTTTCTCATAGTGCCTCATGCGTCTTGCATCCCCAAGCCAACATAAGCAATCTTTGAAGGTTTTTACAGAGCCTTTAAATTGAGCGCTCTTTTGACCTTTGCCAGCTAATACTGGCAAATTTTCTTCTCTGATTCCTTTAGCAATTTTATGTAAGTGTATTTGTATATGTATATGTACAAATGATATGTACAAAAGATTTTAACTAGTTTTGCGTTGATTAATCACCTGTCTTTTAACTAGTTAACTGCTTTAGGTTTAGACTGATTTGCATTTTGCCAAAACCTAAAGATAGCTTCTTTTGAAGTAGCAAAAAATAAATGAAACTTACAAATAAATAAACAAAAGCTTCAACACCATCTTCGAAAAGGGCATTTTTCATTCCCTCTTTTTTCCACATTAAACTTGATAGAATCAAAATAGTCTCAAAATATAAGCAGGTGTTTCCTAACGTGATCAAAATTGGTCTCTGTAGATCAAAAGCAGGGATGGAGAACCTGTGACACTCCAGATGTTATTGGACTACTGCTCCAATGAGTAACAGTTGGAGAGACCACCGAGTCCCCATCCCTGAGCTAATGAATCAGCCAATAAAAGCTGCTTGCTTTGTTTTTGAAGTTGAAAAGTATGTTTAGATTTGCAATCCATCCTCTCCTGAAGGCTTGGGGACGGTAGCAGTATTGCAGACACAAAAACACCAAATAGGCCCTTTTGCTTAACTAAATACCGTATTTTTTGCACCATAACACTCACTTTTTTCCTCCTAGAAAGTAAGGGGAAATGTCTGTGCATGTTATGGAGGAAATGCCTACGGGTGGCATGCCTACAGATTTTCCACCTCTAAAAACTATGTGCGTGTTATGGTCGGGTGCGTGTTATAGAGCGAAAAATACGGTAATTGGGAAGGACAACTGTCAGAGGAGGGAAAGCCTTACAGATACAGTGGTACCTCAGGTTACGAACTTAATTATTTCCAGAGATCCGTTCTTAACCCGAAACCGTTCTTAACCTGAGGAGCGCTTTCGCTAATGGGGTCTCCTGCTGCCACTGCACCGCCGGTGCGCGATTTCCATTCTCATTCTGGGGCAAAGTTCTCAACCCGAGGAAATACTTCCGGGTTAACGGAGTTTGTAACCCAAAGTGTTTGTAACCCGAAACATTTGTAACCCTAGGTACCACTGTAAATACTTAATAATGTTATAGTACTTTAGAGTGTTCAAAGTGTGGCGAATAAGTCATCTTGATAATTGCTAGCAACAACCCTTTAAAAATAACTAGCACCACATTATTATTATGAAGTTGCAGATGGCAAGGCTGAGACTTGAGTATAGTGAATTCTTAGCTCCCCCTAGTGAGTTCATAGCTGAGTGAGATTTCCTCCCAGAGACTTTGTGACTCATTGTTAGCACACTTTCCTTAAGCAAATAGAGAATTGAGGAAATGGGACTGAGTTTGCTCTTGAAGAATGACTGCGAGAACCACTGTAGAAAAATGGACAGAAGCATAATCAGAATGGCACTACTGGCATAGTCAGCTGCATTTTCAGGTTATGCTAAACCATAGTTTAGTTGTACAACATTAACAAGTAGGAATGAGCCTAAGCAAGCTTTGGGCTTACCAGCTCCCTCCTCCTGTTGTTGATTGGTTGGGAGGAGAAATAATGGACCAGTAGCGATCCCTCCAATGTTAATGACTTCCAGGATGGGTGGGTTAAGATGATGGACAGTTACAGGAGCCACTGGTGGGGATGGTTCTGCCGTGGTGGAGGCCCCAGCTATGCCCAGGTGGACAAAAAGCCACAGTAAGATCTGAGAGCATTCTGGGATGGAATCCTTGAGAGGTCCAACTTTTTGATTCCTCAGCTTTATCAGTCTGGAGCTAGTATGGTGAAATTAAATGCATATATATAAATACCTTGCACCTTGCCCAGCCTTCTTCCAACTTGGTCCCCAGCAGATGTTCTGAACTACAACTCCCAACACACCTGATACTTGGCCATGCTAGCTGGGGCTGATGGCAATTGTATATTGAATTGCTTTGTACTGTACACTTAAGGTAATTCTGATACAGCAGAGGCATTCAGTAAAGGTATGCTTCTCATTAAGTGACACATTTCACAGTTCTTAAGCAGTTTACCTGAGAGTGTGTGTTGTTTTTCAAGCAGTGCAAAAATTCATTCAAATAAAGGGTTTTAACCTCCGGTCAGGGGCGAACGAAGGCTAACCTACACCCAGGCCGGGGCAAACTGCTGGCTGCGCACGCGTTGCGCCACTACGAATGATGCATGCGTGGCATTGCTACGTACGACGCATGTGTGCCGTCGCTATGCAGGGTGCATGTGCGGCACCGCTACGTACAGCGCATACGTGCGACACCACGCATGCGTTATACGTATTGGTTTGCCGCCGGCGCCGCCTGAGCGCCGTACAGACATTGGCGGGATCCTCTGCTTGCAGCTGCAGCGGCGGCGGAGGGATCTTCCGCTTGCGGCTGTAGTGGCGACGGAGGGATCCAGCCACCGTCTGTATGGCGCTTGAGCGGCACTGGTGGCAAACCACTATGTACAGCGCATGTGCGGCATCGCTACATACAGCGCATGCGTGCGACATCGTGCATGCGTTGTATGTAGCGGTTTGCCGCCGGTGCCGCTCAGGGCGCCGTACAGACAGTGGCGGGATCCTCCGCTCACAGCTGCAGCCGTGAACAGAGGATCCTTCACATGTGGCTGCGGTGGTGCGACAGCTGTTGGTGCCGCCGCGCCCGGGGGTGGCAGGGTGAGCACCCCACGGGGTGCCTTCTTGTTACCCCCCCCAGATATGGCACCCGGGGTGCACCACACCCTGCCCCCACTTGCGACGCCACTGGCTCTGGTGTGCTATAGTACTCACCCAGTCATGATCAGCTTGTCCAGCCCTGAGCACTAGATGGCCAGGAAGCCACCAGAGACTCCCAGCTTTGTAGGGGCACACTCAAATGTCAAGGGAAAAAGACAAAACTAATAGCTTCCTCATTGATGTAGTGGTGGCAGTTCATTTCAAAAAAGAATGTGTTGGGCAGCTTAGCTCCCTGTCCTCATTTAAAGGCAGTGCCTGGTCGATGGTACTGGTGGTCAGGGTGTGATAACTTTGAAGTTTTATTTCTTTTTGGCTATATCTTTACATTTCAGGTTGGGGGCACACTAGTTGACTGTTGTACAAGGAGCCCACAAAATTGTGGAATCAGCTTTGCGACTCTGCCTCGCTTATAATTTTACCATTGCTTAACTCCCTGGATTTTCTGTGTTACATATCTTATTGTTTGAGTTGATATGGTTTTTCAATTGTTAGTGACAGATATTAAACCACTTCATATACACTTTCCTTTCATAAGTAAATTGGAAGGAAAGAGTGTGAAGTACCGTATTTTTCGCTCTATAAGATGCACTAGACCACAAGTTTTTGGAGCAGGAAAACAAGAAAAAAAATATTCTGAATCTCAGAAGCCAGAACACTGCGCAGTGAAAGCAGCAATCCCTCTTGTTGTTCTGGCTTCTGGGATAGCTGTGCAGCCTGCATTTGCTCCATAAGATGCACACACATTTCCCCTTACTTTTTAGGAGGGAAAAGGTGAGTCTTATAGAGCAAAAAATACGGTATATCAGCTGTTCAGCATGACCTCAGTCCCACTGCTGGGACACACACAAAGCTTGGATAAAAGGAGTATTTTGTGCTTCATATTGCAGTGGTCAAAAAACACAGTATTCTTAATTGATTTTTAATTTGTAGGCCACAAGTGACTTAGAAAACTATGACAAGACTCGTCATGAGGAGTTTAAGAAATATGAGATGATGAAAGAACATGAAAGAAGAGAATATTTAAAAACACTGGATGAAGAAAAGAGACGACAAGAGGAAGCTAAGTATGAAGAACTGAAGAAAAAGCACAGTAATCACCCCAAAGTTAACCATCCTGTAAGCACATGGTTTGTGTCTACCATATAGTGAAGGTGTATTCAGGCGTTATGCATTAAAAGGAGAATAAATAAAAGTAGTGGGATATGCTTTATAGATGCACTTAAATTTGGTTTGGTTATTGAACTGGCAGGACTTTACTGAACTGAAATATCATTTTATATGCTTCCTTTCCAGCCATTTCTTATTTGATCAACATTTATGAGAAGGGACTGAGATCTGTGCTTCCTTTGAAAACTTTTATAATACATGTTTGAGCTGCAGCTTTCATGACAACTTCTTCTATGGGGAATAGAACCTGACTAAGTTCTACCTACCCTTATGTTATGCCCATCTGTTAATAAGTGTGGCATTGTAGAATGATCCAAATGGTTCTTGACCATGTGTAACATATTGTTTCATTTTTGTTATCACCTCTGCTGACAATTTAGGAATTCCTACTGAAGATGTTGACATTAATGGATGATAGATGTGTGCTTTTCAGTATGTATGTGTGTATGGGGGGAAATAACTAGATTTTGAAGCTTTTCTTAGAAAGGTAATATGGATTTATTTGGCACAATGTGGTTGCAAGAAATGCCTATCTAATCATTTGCATCATTGCTTTTTCTGATCAACTTACAGGGAAGTAAAGACCAGTTGAAAGAGGTGTGGGAGGAGGCAGATGGACTGGACCCCAATGATTTCGATCCAAAGACTTTTTTCAAGTTGCATGGTAAGGAGCATAATTTTTTTCCTGTAAAAAATTAAGCAACTTAAGTGATACTCTTGGGATTGCCTTCTCTGGAGCAATACCTTCATCATGTGACAACAAAGAATCTCAAGTAAATTAACATCGGTAGTAGGATAAAATCCCATTATGCGGATCAGGGCTGAGGTGATACAATTTATCAGACAGTGGAGTTCTAATTCAGCATTTTCACATTGGGGTGTCCCTTTTGTACTGGAGTTTATTTACATGTGTATAGGTCCTTGTAACACAATTTCCATAACTGGTGGGCTTGTTGCACTTATTTTCATTCTGGCACTATTTACCTCAACAGTCTGTAGTCCATACTGAGGAAGAAAATAATAATGTTTTGAAGAAGGAATACAACTTAGATTCATTTTCAGTTTGCCTTGTATTTTTAAAACTCATGGCAATCACCCTTTCAAGGACTTGAAAACTAGTCTGGTAATTATACACGTCCTACTGGACAGATTACTCAGTCTTTTGAAGGTTCTTTAAAGTTGCAATAAGCAGAATTTCCAAAACCGTTAAAGAATCAATATTCAGATCTGGGCAAATGGGCCAGAGCTTAAAAGGCTATGCTCTGCAAAGTAAAACCCTCTTTTGCTTTTATTGTTAGGAAGTAAGTCTGGGCAAGGTTGTCCCAGCTGCCCTCCAGCCACTGGGACTAAAGAACCTGTAAAATATCAGGAAATGGGACTGAGAGTTAACCCCTCCTCATATCTCTTCTCTATTTATCCCTGCTATTACACCCTAGAGTTGGGCAATGGCTGTGTGTGGCAAAGTGACTTTATCAACATTATAGTGTTGTGACAAATGTGCAGGGCTGGACAGATCTGAAGCAGATACATATAAAGAATAGTATCTGAGACAGATAGTTAATTCCTTTCTAAGTTAAATAGCACCAACAATTTCTAAACAGCAGTTAGGCTCTGAAATCTTACAAAGGTCATGGATGTTCACACCCTTGTTTAACAAGCCCTTGCTTCAAAAGTTAATTATTAAAAGTCAAGCTGCCATAATTTAATGCAGATAAACATGATTCAATATGCATGTGGCTAAGTGGGATCTTATCAAGGGGAGAAGGGTAAAGACAGGCAATGTATGAATTTTGAATATATTCAAGGCTATTTATGTATTAAGATTTTATTTTGAGCTATGTTTTGGTTTCCAATTTCATTATAAGAGAATGGAAGCCTGAAGAGCAGAATTGTCAATGCCTCTAGATTTTCTTTGCTAATAGAACTCAAAACCAAATAGTCAACAGCAACAGTCTGGTCAGTAGCTAAATAGAAATATTTTAGCTGTGCTAAAATATTTTGTTAGATTAATCAAGTTGGGATTGTAGCGTGCTACAAGTGAATTAGACCTGGTGTGCATGAGTGTGCTAATGCTTCAGTGTTCTATATTTATATGCATTATACTTTTTATAGATGTCAATAATGATCATTTTCTGGATGAGCAGGAGTTAGAAGCCCTGTTTACTAAAGAGGTATGTGATGCACATTACATAGAAACTCTTCCTTACAATTAGTTGATATTTAAGGGCTTCTGTCTATATAAAAATGGCAGCACTGGTAATATTTATGTATCTACCAAAGATATGTTAAAGCCTAAATAATTTTTTTAAAAAAAAACCCAGGTCAATTGTTCAAGGAAAAACAATATATTCTGGAGCAGGGAGCAATACGAGATAGTTACTTTCAACACTTTGAAAGTCCATTGCTAAAACCTATAGATGCAAGGGGGGACGTGGGTGGCACTGTGGGTAAAAGCCTCAGTGCCTAGGGCTTGCCGATCGAAAGATCGGCGGTTCGAATCCCCGCGGTGGGGTGCGCTCCCGCTGCTCGGTCCTAGCGCCTGCCAACCTAGCAGTTCGACAGCACCTTCAGGTGCAAGTAGATAAATAGGGACCGCTTACCAGCGGGAAGGTAAATGGCGTTTCCGTGTGCTGCGCTGGCTCACCAGATGCAGCTTGTCACACTGGCCACGTGACCCGGAAGTGTCTCCGGACAGCGCTGGCCCCCGGCCTCTTGAGTGAGATGGGCGCACAACCCCAGAGTCTGTCAAGACTGGCCTGTACGGGCAGGGGTACCTTTACCTTTACCTTTACCTTTATAGATGCAAGAGCAAAACATAAAAACTTCATACCAGGAACTGATGCCATTTACGAAATTAGCTATTGATTTCATATTCAGGCTGGGACTAGCTACCTGGCATGCATATTTCCAGTGTCTAGGCATAGAAATGCAAGGGGGTTTTACATATCTGTACATACAGAGTGGACCAATGCCCAAATGTCTTGGTAAGTTCAAAATTTGGAAAGTTGATATACTGGTCCAGTCTGAAGAGGATAAGCCAAAAGACTTCAATTCAATTCAAACTGATTATGTACCAATACATATTGTATATTGGCATAAGAAGCAGTAATTTCTTGATTTGAAAACAGAAGCCAACTCTGTTCGACATATTTATATAGTTAAGGAATAACAGGGATGGATAATCTGTTTCAAGCATATTCCTTAAGTTCAGTGATGTATTTGCTTCTGTTTTAGCTAGAGAAAGTCTATGATCCCAAAAATGAAGAAGATGACATGGTAGAAATGGAAGAAGAGAGGCTACGAATGAGAGAACATGTAATGAATGAGGTGAGGCCAAAACATCACTCTTTTATAAATAATGGTAGTAGGCAAAACCCTGCTGTTACCACATTCATCTCTCTCTCTCTCTCTCTCTCTCTCTCTCTCTCACACACACACACACACACACACACACACACACACACTCTTCACACCCTAATGTCTCTATATCCCTGGTCTGTTCCATGGGCAGCTGCTAGTGGGAATATGAAATTCTCACATAAGGATGGTGACAGTCACAGTGACAAGCAATTCTAAAATGTTATCACTACAATGGCAGTGTCCCTTGTGGTGGGCATTAATGCATTCTGACCCTTAGACATTAAAAAATTAGGACTGGAGGAAATACTCATAGTTGCTTGGTAACATTGTACAGTATTTTCAGTGAGGAATCCAAGCTTTTGAAGAACTCTCAAAAATTAACTGTGTTACACATTGAACACATTGGGGGTTACCTCTGAGTAAACATGCATTGGATTATGCTGTGAGTGAGTGTGTAGGAGGGGAATTCATTTGGCCACACTGAAGACTTTGTTTTCAACCATCATTTCCACCTCAGAATAATGCAGTGCCTGTGCTGTAACATTAAAATACTGTGTGCTGATTCATCTTTTGAAAAGCTGGATACAAATGCAAGTTTGATGACCTAAAGTGTGCTTACCCACTTGTACCTCTTATAAAAGGTTGACATCAACAAAGACCGGTTAGTGACTTTGGAAGAATTCTTGAGAGCTACAGAGAAAAAAGAGTTTTTGGAGCCAGAAAGCTGGGAGGTAATCCGGCCATTTTTAAAGTAGAACATGCTGCAACCACCATCCTGACCCAAACCACAAGTAGTCGGTTTGTCTCAAGCCTTTGATTCTCTTCCCCCTTTCTTTGTTGTATTTATCTGTGCTTAATTATTAGCAACTTTATCAAAATAAAATCTGAACAGTGAGTCCAAGGACACTGTGCATACGCTACTTTATGGGACAATCTTAATGTTTGTGCAGGCGTTTGAAATAGAATAAGCACAGGCATTTTGACTGCAGTATTCTTTGAACAGAGCAGTCAGTGATTTATATTGGAAATACAGAGAGAGAATTGTGTTATCTTTTTTATAAAGTCAGGTTTATGCCATTTCTTCGCAGATCCTGAAAGAAACTGAGAACTGTTAAGTAACTGTAACGCTGTCATGTATGCCTGGAAGCTGTCTTCCTTACAGCAATATCTCTATAAGCACAGAATGAGTTCTCTTTGGCAAACAAGATTCACATTGCACTTCACATTAAGTGACAAAGAGTGTGGGGAAATTCAAGCCCAGCAGCATAGAGCAGATAATTGCGCTGTTACCACAAATGCAATCCATATGCATAAGCAGATTTCCATTCTTATTATATTTATTAAACTTATTAGTTGCTTTATGTTGCTCAAGGCAACCCAAAGCAACCCAAAACCAACCAACCCCCCCAAAATTCCTCACATAAATACATTAAAACAAAGTGGGGGTGGCACTTTCTGGACCACGGCTTATGTATGTAGGAAGGTGGGGGTGGGGTGGGGAGGAGCAGAGGAAAACATACAGCACCAAAAAGTGTGAGCATACTGCTCCTGTATTGTGTGTGCACTGTTCAGCAAATGATCACTTCTTGAAAGTCTGATGTTGTCAACCGTCTTTAAGAAGCACAGATCTTCCTATACAGAAGATTCCTGGGGAGAGTGTTTCTGCTGGCAGGAGGTCCTGCGTGGACCCTCTTGTGGGGAAAAGCTAGGTAATGCTGCAGGCTGATGATTTTCCTTATCACTCCAATGGGCAGACCCTTAGTCTTTTCAAAGTCAAGTTCCTGTCAAGGTGTGTAAATTGTGCATGGACAAAGATCAGGAACTTGTTAGAAATAGGAGGGGCGCTTGAGGAACCTTGCTATTCTACCCCCCCCCCCTTTCTGGTAAGAATTTAGCTAGTGTAAAATGCTTCTCTTTATCAAAACTTTGGATCATCATAAAAAATATTGTATCTTGCACACATATTTCAAAAGGTGGGTCTATAGAATAATTTGTGAATTGCTTCTTAATTTTTTCAACATTGAACTTTCTTTGAGGGGTTTGTGTTTTATTCTTGTTGTTTTTAAGACCCTGGACCAACAACAGGTCTTCACTGAAGACGATCTGAAGGAATTTGAAAGTCACATTTCCCAGCAAGAAGATGAACTGAACAAGCAAGCACTAGAACTTCAGAAAAGGAAAGAAGAACTACAGAGGCAACATGACCACCTTCAAGCTCAGAGACAAGAACTCCAGCAGGTACCATCTGAATAGCTGAAAATTTCCTTTGGTTATAGAAATGGAATTCATTGTATTTATTGTTTAGTAAGAACAGAACAAATATATCATTTCTTGTTCTGAAAGTATACTGTCTTTGGAATGCATGTTAGCTGGGTCTGCTGCTTAGACATACCAGACCTCGAAAGGTTGGAGTGATCTTTTAGGTATTGTCCTAAGCTGCATAGGGCTTTATATACCAGTACTTGTACCAATAGCAGCACCTTAAAAATACCTTGGTTGCTAATTGGCAGCCAGTGCAATTTTTTTTAGCAGCAGTATAACATGATGGTGATAATTCTGTGCTAAAGAACTGTAAACTTGCTTCATGTTGCACAGTACTGAACTACATTATTGGATTTGGGAGGACTTGTTCCAGAGAAAAGAAGAATCCATGCAAAGCTGAGTTTATTTAAGAAGGCATTTTGTTGCAGACTTTACTGTGATACACAAGAACTGTATGGATGTTCATATTCAAAGATATGAACATATATATAGCTTTATTGCATGAAATTAACACCCCAATACACCTTGGATTACCTATTTTCCATTTCATTCCACATACATTTGTAACTGCCCAACAGGCTGTCCAACAAATGGAACAGAAGAAGTTACAGCAAGGACACCCTCCTTCGGGACCAGGTGGAGAACTGAAATTCCAGCCACGTATGTAAATTAATTATTCTCTTTCTCTCTCACACACATATTATTGATGATGGTGTTCATTGCTTGTGAGAAAAACTATTTATGCCCTCAGTGCGATACAGAACCAAACTTATAGCTTGGCACTTAATATTCTACTGCAAATAAGAGAAGGAGCCTGCCAGCCCATTAGATTGGAATGTAACGTGTTTGAACACTTAGATGCCTGAAACTGAACCCTTACCCAAATACTTTCCTTGCCAGATAATTCAAATGAAAGAATCATGTTTTACTATGAAATAGGGGCACCTTTCATACAAACTCCAAATATATCTCTTAGCAGCTGTACATGAAAGAGAGAGATATAATTTGGGCAAGTGTGTCTTTGTATGTGAGAGGGGGGAAGGATGCATTTTCATAAAAGAGAGCCAGCTGGATACCATTGACAATGGAGCTATAAAATCTTACTGCACATAAATGAACAAGCAAATACTGCAGACCTTCTTTGTTCTCTGAAAGGTGATTTTATGCAAGGGAAAAAATATATAGTACCATAAATATGTGGAATTCTGCTCTAATAACCTTTGGGGACGTTTTGACTATATGTGATTTCAGCTTTATGCATAATCCCCCGTAATGTAACCCCCATGTAAAATTTGAGTCTACTATAATATGTAAAACCACACTTTCTGAGATTTGGATTACCAGGTAATTGTTCCGCAGAACTAACCTTTGTTTTTCGTATTTTGTGTTACAGCTGCATCACAACCAGTTGGAAATGTTCAAAATCATCCTGCGGGAGGCAGTCAGCCTTTACCACCAGGAAGCATACCAGTACAAGAAACAGCTGCAGGATCAGATCATGTTCAGTCTCACCCTTAACCACACGTGCCTCAAATTTGTACCATAGTTTTGGGAGAGAAGTGGGAGGGGATGTGGTCAGAGAAGTAAAAACAAATTGGGAATTGAGCTTAAAATCCCCATTTCAAATCATTGGATTCATGAAGACTTTCAAAGGCACAAATGATACAAAGCAGGTTTATAAAGCTGCCGATCTTTCAGGTGAGAAGGGTATATTAAAATATTCTAATTTTGTTACTAGATTTAAGGATATCATCCAGATTTTATCCTCAGGAAAACATTATTGTTTGACTTCAATGTAATTTGGCTGGCTGTCCATCATTTGTGCCTTGGAAAATCTCCACCTACTTCATGGTTAAATTAAATATGTTTTATAATCTGCCAGAAGACTCACTGATGAGGGAAAAGCTAAGAGGCACAAATCTTCTACTTTTTTTGTAAATGTTCATGATGCCAACAGTCTTGATTGTCGGTGGGTGTAAAGTGGAAGTTTGCTTGATCAAGACACAAGTCTATGACAATATTTTCCTAAAAGTGCCAACAATGGAGAGCAGGAATTTAGGATGGGTGTAGTGAATGAGGGTGGGTCCCCCCCCAATCTCTTTGGTCTTTGAGACCAAATGCATAGAAACCACCTGTGATCTGATTTCAATAAATTCTGCACATAAAAAAGGAAGTCTAATTGCAGCAGGGCGTAATAGGCAATAGTGAATATGCCTAGGAATGCCAGTATAAGAAGCCTTCAACAGAAATAGTGAATTTGAAGTGTATTGATTTAGCCATCCGTATTGTTGCAAACCGAATGCAGTGTGTCAGCTGGCTACATCCCCTGCAAGTCAGCTATGAAAAAGATACTTTTGTCCTACTTCCTTTCATAATATGCCAGTTGCATTTATCCCTTTATGAGCTATGAAAACGAGCTCTTTTGATGATAAAGTATATTTGCAGAATGAGCAAAGACCTCTCATTGTCTTTTCCTGGACAAAACAGCTTGGCTCCTGCTGTAAACGACTCCTTTGAAAATCATCAGTATGTTACAAACAGCAGTTCTCAGAAGCTGCATTCTGAGTTTAAGCTAAAATTAATTAACACTGGGTATGATTACCTGAACGTTAAAAGGCATGCAGTTTAGATGTGGATATTTTCATGGAAGCCTGAAGCCAGCATCTTCAATAATAATTCAAGTTTCTCCACATAACCCTTTGTTTTTCTGTGAACTTGGCTAAGAGCAACATGGCTTTAAGAGTTCTTTACCATTTTAGCTCAAAAACACGCATCCAGTTCATTACAGCTGAAACCCAGTTTATCCTTTGAACATGACTCCTAAAGGCATTCTTTATTCCTGTGTTATTCCTACTTGAATTTTGATTCAAAGACTACTGAAGCAAATGGAATGACAGTGGCATTAAGACTGGATACAAAGTATTTAAAAATGAAGTCTAAAAACTACATTCGTTTAGGACAGTATTTTTTTCCTGATGGTTGTGCTGATGGGGCAGAAATATGAGGTGGCTATTAAAATATTGAACAACTGTAATGATTTCTGTTTCCAGGAAATTGGCCGTTTTGCTATAACAGAATTATTTATATAGGGCTTCCAGATTTGCAGGCCTTCCCTATACAAAAGTTAGGGAAGGAGAATTTGGCGCACAGTTTGCATAAGGCTGTTAAGCATGTAGTGGGTACTTGAAAAAACCTGTGCAGGTTTTCTCCCTGCCCTTGATGAACCGGTAGTGTGTGACTACTGCCATGCACCAAATTCTCATTTAATAAAACCACAAATGTCATAATATGAGCACATCTCAAATCAGATAACAAATACTCACAGGTGGCTTCTTGGAGTCAAAGAGGCCAGGTGGGCAGCCTTTCCATGGAACCAGCCCATGGTCAGAGTGGCCTATGAACCAGTCCTGTGCTTCCCTTTTTCCAAGTTCCATTATCTTAACTGAATTTTGCCGCGTTGCTTCTTGTCATCTCCTACTCCTGCTCGGTGTCAGCCACTCTTTCCTTTTTATGGTCCTGAAATGAATATGGCAATGTAGTTCTGATCTATAGGCTGAATTGTCGTCCTGTAGCCCTAGACTTCTTTTTCCACAGCCCACGATGGCCAGTAGAAGAGCCAGCACAGGCAACTGCAACCATGCATAGTGCCTTCCTAGTTGGATTATATACAAGGTGCGATGGAACAGGATTATTGGACTGATACCCACGACTTAATTCATATTACCCGTACAGGAGACCCTACATGAGAATCAAAAGAAGTTCCTGGAGGAAGGCTATTTCTCTACAGTTTTACTTGATACAGTACATTAGACAGCTGCTTAAATACAGGTTGTGATCCTTGCTTGAGGCTCACCTAATACAATTGTTGGAAAGTTATCTTCTGTATTTTGTTTGTGGCCTCACAAGTATATACAGACCAAAAAAGCATTCTGTCATTAAATTTTATGTGGCATACATCCCTCTTTTAAGATTATAAATAAAATCACATGACAAAAATAAAAAGTTGGGTTGCAGTATGATTCCAAAAGCTTATTGCATTTTATAATCAAGAAGCTTTAAAAATGTTCAGGATACAGAATTTATGGTGTTTTGTTTATCACTACTGTGAGCCAAACCACGTTCTACAAGGAAATATGGCACAGTCATGGCTGTGTATGGGCCAGGCTATTCAAACTACTCCATAAGAGGCTATGACCATGCTGAATGCAGATGATATCAGACACAACCAATATATCTGGAAGAATTAAAATAAAGTTCCTATAGTATTACTAATCTAACATTAAAAATGAATCTGCAGCTTCTTTTTAATTGTTTGTTTTAAAAACAAATCTTATGCTTGGGACTTTCCCCCACCCCCAAGTATAAAACTATGACACAAAAAGTATTACCAAGTTGCAATGCTAACCATTTGCCTGGGGGTAAGCCCCATTAAATTGAGTACTGACTTCTGAGTAGACATGGTTACTGTTTTTGTATGGGGACAGAGAGCTTGGCAAAGTTTGTTCACTTCCCTTGGTAAGAGGCAAAATTCCTATCCTGCAAAGTTTTCAGATCAGAACTCAGTGATGCCAGGCATGGTTTGCATGGTGAAATCCCCAGGTTTAATCATTGTTGTCTCCCCAGTTAAAAGAAATTAGTCCTAAACTTGGTATAAGACATAATTTCCATGGTTTGGTGCTTCATTCCTAAATGCATTTTCTTCAAAGTATTGTTCATTTGTTTTTAGTGCCACTTATTTCTCTAAAAAGGAATATTTAGGATGGTGGCCCAAGTCTCATGAAGGTTGTTTTTAAACTCCATTTTGGTTTATGACATGGAGACTATGTTTCCTTGTCCTTCACCCTGCCTCACATTAAACTTTTCAGCAAGAGTTCTTTGGCACATAGCCACTGCCCATGTAGCTCTGTACTGTCTACACTGGCAGGCAGTGTCTCCCTCAGTCCTACCTGGAGATGCTGGGGTTGAGCCTGGGACCTTCCACCTGCAAAGAAGATGCTCTGGGCATCCCAACAGATGCATAGTATAACAAAGTTGTACATATCTGTGTTATTTCCAGTGCAATATTTGTATGCAGAACGTTGTTTCACCCTTACTTTGTATACATGAGGTATAAATTAAATTGAATTCATAGTCAGTTGCTTTGGGTCCTCTGACCATCTTCTTCCAGTGATTGTTGTGGCAGCATTGTTATGTTTGGCAGAATTAAAAACAATAACACTGTAGATCATAAACAAGGATGTTTAACATTTATTATTATATTTATTATATTTATTGGTTGGTTACTACAGAAAATGTATTGAAGCAACCAACAATTGGAGAAAAACACAGAATTTATTTGTTGTCAATGTGAGACAATAAACCAGAAGCCTATATGGGGGGGAGAGAGACTTGGAGCATGAATTGAATACTCAGGACTGTAGGGGGCTATGGGTTGAGATTTTACTTAAACTCAAGATTAGGCTTAAGTTGAGCTGTCAACCATCTGTGAGATTTGCTGAGGTGCTGTGCCTCTTTGGTTTTCTGTTTACCTCCTGTATTTTAACCCGGCTTACTCGTGAGCACTCCTCAGCTGCCTGAGAAATGAGGATTTCTTTTGACGCCACGGATACGAGCTTCGAAAGTTTATTGCCTAGTACTCAGCTACGTACAGGAGCTGTTTCTTGGTCGGAGTTTTTTTTATTTATTTATCCCACTTTAACTACTCAAGCTGTTGAAGTTGACTTTTTGACCATGCGAAGCTTCCGTGCGATTTTAAGTTTCGCGGCTGCCCTCTGCCTGTCCACTATCTGCGTCAGGTCCAAATACAACCAAAGCTCGCAATCTCATAAGGGAAAGCGAAACCTTTCACAGGAGAAAGACGATTGTGGGAACCTGGCGAGTTCTTCGCGTGGAAGGAAAACCGCGCCTCACCAGCGAGACCCATGGACTGGGGAGGTGGGTTGGCGGCCCGCAGGTGCCTCCTGCTCGGCTTCTCGGTGTTCCTCTGTGGCGGCGTCGTCCTCCAGCCGGCAGGTAAACAGAGCGGGCGAGGGTCGTCGCTGCTGCAGCTGCTGCTTCCTCTAAAGGCCGCTCGGCAGCCGCAGGGCGACTCGCGCCGTGAGTTCGGCTCCTGCTTGGGGGAGAGAGCGCGGAGGTCGCTCTCGCCCCGGGGGAAACAAGCGGAAACTCCTGGATGTAGGGGAGAGCTAGTAGGGGAGCAGAGTGGGGCAGCACAGGCCACCCGCTTCCCCTCTCTTGGAGAAGCGAGTTTTGTGAGAAGTGGCGAGGCGGACGCTAACTAACGAGAGTAAGGCGGACTAAGGGGGGCACTTGTGTGGAGCAGAGGAGGAGGAAGGGGGCGCTTTGTAATTGCTCCTCCGTGGAAAGCCCAGCTCCTCCTTGCGCCTCTTCCTCGCGGAAATGGTGCCCACTAGGCTCGACGTGCAGTTGTGCTTTTGAGACTAGGGAGTTTTCTCTACGTATTTCTGGGGCACGGATTGGAGCCATAACGCGTGTGGAAGGAGAGGGAAACTCTTAACGGAATCCAGACTGGACACCCGGCCTCTTCAGCTTGCATTGGGGAAGCGGGAGAAACCACCAGCTGGTTTCAACAGGAGTTTCCCCCTCGGTGTGCTAATTTCTAGCGTTTGAGGAGAAATCCCTGAGAGCGGAGTGTTAAATCCGCCAACCAGCTGCGTTACTGTCTGGATCCGCGGGGGGCACGTTGTTGTTGTTGTTGTTGTTGTTGTTGTTGTTATTATTATTATTATTATTATTATTATTAACTAATTTTTAAAAATAAATAAATTTTATTAGTATTTTCCACACAACAACAACACGAAAGATAACAAAAAATAACAGTACACAACACACAAAAATCAACATTCGAAAACTAAAGAAAGCAACAACAACAAAAACAAACAAACAAAAACAAATCCATATCTTACAAGTTAATATTATAAACACTAAAACAACAACAAGTCATTGACTTCCACCATTCCCACAGCACCTCCTTTATCTCTCATTGTGTCTTCCTGTTTTCTTTATCATCTCTATCCTAACATCTAGATATAAATCCTTCTTTCATATCCTTTCACTTCACCTTATTATTATTAACTAAATTTCTATATTGTACTGCCCTTCATCCGAGGATCACAGAGCGGCTTACAACATAAAAACGCAAAAATACATAACATAGTAACAAACTAAAGCAATAACCCCCTCACAGGTCATATAGATGGTTTAAATAGCCAAAGGCATGGGAGAAGAGGAATGTTTTTGCCTAGCACATGGATGGAGCTAAGGAGTGGGTAAAACAATAGAAATACTTAACTGAGCAATCGCGTTGGTTCTGCCCCCTAACAAAAGTCCTGCTCCCCAACACAAATCCTGGCTATGCCCATAGCCTGGCACCTAAAGATATGTCACAAAGGCACCAGGCAAGCCTTCGTGGGGAGAGCATTCCACAAGTGGGGGACCACCACAGAAACGGCCCGTTGCCAACCTCCAGACTTCTCACAGAGGGGCACATGAAGAAGGGCCACAAATGACAATCATAGGGTTTGGGTTGGTTCATATGGGGATAGGCAGTCCTTGAGGTATTTCAGTCCTGAGCCATTTAAGGCTTTATAGGTCAAAACCAGCACTTTGAATTGGGCCCAGAAACTAATTGGCAGCCAGTGCAGTTGGGCCAGGATCAGTATAATATGCTCAAACTGTCTTGCCCTGGTGAGCAGCACCTGGGGTTTCTGAACCATCCTCAGAGGCACTCCCACTTATAACATGTTGCAGTCATCTAACCTAGAGGTTACTAGAGCATAGGCAACAGAAGTTAGGCTTTACCTGTCCAGACAGGGGGCGCAGGTGGGCCAGCTGTAGGAGATGATGGAGGTCACTCTGTGCCACTGGGGCCATCTGAGCCTCAGGTGACAGCAGTGAATCCAGAAGCACCTCCCTTCAGAGGGAGTGTAACCCCATCAGGAGTTTTGGCAACTTATGTGAAAATGAACAAGCCTTCATTCCTGGCTAAAATTTGGTCCTTTGGCATGCTGTTGACTTTCCAGAAGCCCTAACTCAGCAACAGGAAATTCTCTGGCCTCTAGATGGCACTGTGAATCCCAGAAAGCAGTTCAAGTTGAGAAAGAGAAAGAAAAAAAACAGTCGTTAAATTAAAATAGCCCTCAAGTCAGAGCAACAGCCTAATAACAGTTAGTGACAGGACATCAGCTTGATCTTTTCATTGCTAAAAACCATATAGGCTACACAAACATAAATGAAATATAGAAAAAGAAAGGGATCCTCAACATTTTGCCATTGTCTATCCTAAAATATTATTGACTACCCATTCCTTAGTGTTAAAGATTAGAGCAAAGTTCACAGGTGAAATATAGAAGACTATGGTTTAAGTTTTTGGTTTTTTGGCCCCATTTTACTACCAGGAACTCTGCTGCTGGCTTCTACTGGAGGGTCAGGTTAGTTGAATCCAACCCTATATTTCTAAAAGGGTCATTCCACACCAAATCATCTGGTGCCATGTGCTCTCACAACTTGGATTTTCTTCAGGTTTTTTTTTTGTTATGTGTAGATACCTATGAGATAACCTCAAATTATTTTTAAAATATTTTTTGGTCTAAAATTGGGGGCAGGATAATTTTTTGAAAATTTCACACGATTTAGGCGGGTGGCGCTGTGGTCTAAACTACAGAGCCAGGTCTTGCCGATTGGAAGGTCGGTAGTTCGAATCCCCACAATGGGGTGAGCTCCCATTGCTCAGTCCCTGCTCCTGCCAACCTAGCAGTTTGAAAGCACGTCAAAGTGCAAGTAGATAAATAGGTACCGCTCCGGCGGGAAGGTAAACAGCGTTTCCATACACTGCTCTGGTTTCGCCAGAAGCGGCTTAGTCATGCTGGCCACATGACCTGGAAAAAGTGCCTGCAGACAAATGCCAGCTCCCTTGGCCAGTAAAGCGAGATGAGCGCCGCAACCCCAGAGGCATTCACAACTGGACTTAACTGTCAGGGGTCCTTTACCTTTTTAGGCTATTGCAATTTCTGTGTCAGTTTAGAAAAAAAAAACCCTCCTGTTTCACTTATTTTTTAACCGATTGGGCCTATTTTGGTATCAAAATAAAGGTAATTGTGGTCTCTTTCAAAATAAGGTATCAAAATGGCATTAAGTGCCACAGGAAAGGGTCTCCGACTATTTTGTTATTTTGTTTCCCATACATGTAATATGGGCAGTGATGAATCATAGCCTCCTACTGTTAGAAAGGTCAAAAGACTATTTGCAATAATGCTATTTTTTTTAATTTACGAAGAATCTCTGAAAGTGACAATGGAAAGTCGGATGGTGGCAGTCTTGGATACAGATGTGATGATACCATGTGAGATCTCTGAATACAGTACTCCAGAGCTAAAGATTGCAAAAATTGCTGTTGAGTGGTATTGGAAGCCTTCTTCCAAGGAAGCGGAAAATATAGTATACACCATTGTTTCTGGAGTGCCTAAATCTTATAGAAACGGTGCAAGAGTGGATGAAAGTGAACTGATAAAAGGCAATGCTGCACTTTCCCTCCCCAAAATACAGATTAGTGAAGAAGGAATATACAGATGTTCTGTGACTGTTACCCCAGATTCAAATCAAGGAACCACTGTTGTAGAGCTAATTGGTAAGTATTTATGTTGAACAAGTTTGTAGAAAACTTACAGAGAATGAACTTGTACATTTCAGAATTTCCCAGTAGCTTTAAGGTCTAACTAAGCATTATATAAGGAAATGTATGTGATATCACCCATCTTTAGAGAAAAGTCACTTTGCAAGACAGTAATTTAGAACAGAGAACTATGGGGGTGCGAGAAGCATGCTTAATCCTTTCCCCCAAGCACCAAAATACATTCCAAGCTGCTTCAGCCTCCCCCTCCCTCAGGAGATGCAGGTTTGGAACCGTCTAGGGGTGGTTTGGTACAGCGAGAGAAAAGGAAAGTGTTAAACTTCTACCAACCTTTCTTAACTATAAATCACCTGCTTGGGAATCATGGAACTCTAGAATTGTAGAGTTGGAATGGGATCCCAACGGAATCTCGACTAGATCATACATGGCAGATAGCTATCCAATCTCTGCTTTAAAACTTCCAAAGAAGGAGAGTCTGCTACCTTCCAAGGGAGTCTGTTCTAATGTCAAACAGCTCTTAAGAAGCGTATCTCTTTTTAAAAAAAGTCACTTTGTGTTATGGAAAGGTATAGCTGACTCTTAAAAGTTTTGCTAAGCAATTTCTTATATACCAAGTGGGACCTGCCACAAAACGTTGTATTGTGGAGTGCTCCCACTAAGGCCTCCAGACACTCAGGTGGTATCCAAGATACCCGATTGCATTCTCTCTTCATCACCCCAATTTTTCATGCTCCCCATTCCCAACAGGTTGTCAGTATTTTGTGGCTACTAAGCATGCTCTTTTTTTTGGGGGGGGATGCCTCCTTAGATTTCCCCCTGTGGTTGTTGTTTTACTTCTGCATACTACTATCTCCTCATTGTGTCTTAGTAGCCTTGTTTTGGTGTTGTCACTCAACACCTGAGCTCTAGTCGACAGACTGATATTATCATATATATTTGAAACACTTGAAGCCAAAGAATTGGCTGGTTAGTTCAAATGAATCTTTGAAAATTAAGTCCACTCCCATTGCCTTCTTTGCCCTCACTGCGCTTTTAGAATTGCCAGATCACAAAAGCTACACTAACAATAGAAGCTGCCACTGACATAATTATCTTCTCAGGGTCTAGGTTCTAAATTGTAATAATCCTATATATAAATATACATGTATGTATGTATGTATACCTGTAAAAATTGTTCTGTATCCTTCAGTGTCAAAATGCTATGAAGGCAGCTTAACTACTTAAACCATACAATGATAATTAAAGAGCAACAAAAATAACAAAGCAGAGGAAGAAAAAAATACCTTCATATCAATGGTGGAAAAAAATAAACCAGCTGGTATTTTGAAGGACCTGGGAACATAAAATTCCCCTCCATGTCAGCTGACACTCCAGGTCCGTTATTTACCTTTCTGCTTTTTCCATCCAGTTGTGCAGAGTCGTTTGTAACTCTAGTTTTGCCCAATTTTGGTATTCTCCTGGACTCCTTTCTTCAGCTCTTTGCCTCCACCATTATTTCCCCCCAAGTTCCTTCTTGTTCATTTTTATTACAACCAAGGCTCTTGACCAGCCTTCTTAGTAGGCTTCCCCCCTTCCCACCCATAGCACACAGCTCCCCTTGACCCACAAAACACCTTCTTCAGGACTCCTCTTCTGTGCCTCTTGCCCCAGCCTTCTCCTTCTGCTTAAACAACCCTCACCCCAGGTTTTTAATTTAGACCATGTCCTTCTGAGAAATCAGGAGTATGAACTATGACTTTCACTTCACTTTCAACCAGCTTTTGTCTGAAAAACTGTATAAAAATGCAGTAAAAACAGAAAAAATGACACTTTTTATTACCTCCATGCAGCTCAACCTTCAGTAAAGCTGTCTCCCAGGACAGTTGAACTAGAAGATGGCAAGGAGAAGACCCTGTCATGCACAGTGAATAAATTCTATCCTCTTTTGATTGAGGTTCATTGGGAGAAAAAATCTGAACGCGACAATAATGAAGTTGTACCTGCAGATGATATTTGCACAGGGGTACCTGTGAAAAATGGAGATGGCACTTTCAATGTAACCAGTAAACTGGAGCTACAACCATCTTTACAAGATAATGGAAATGTCTATAGTTGTGTTGTGGGACACAAATCATTTTCCATACGGCAGGCCTTCAATGCCACTTTGATAGTAACAGGTATTCCTTCTGTTAACCTTTTCTGCCTGTGTGTGTGTGTGTATGTATGTGTATAATAGTGGGTCACATCCAACTGGTGTACTTCCATGAGTGTAGGGCTTTTGATCCAGAAGAGGAGAGGATATTTGCCCACACACCCTGGAGCCTTCAGCACCTTCCACTAATTCTGCCCAATGTTCTGAAATGTAGCTTTCTCCTTTCTCCAAAGATTCATATTGTACTTACAAATACATTAGTCTTTGGGACTTCCATGCTAGGGCATCACAAGGAATGGGATAAAATATATTGTAATGCCTTTATACAAATCTATGGGAATACTGTGCACAGTTCTAGTAGCTGCATCTCAAAAAGATTATTGTGGAGCTGGAAAAGGTGCAGAAAAAGGGCAACCAAAAATGATATTAGGGATGGAATAACTCCTTAGTGAGAAAAGGTTATGGCACTTGGGGCTTTTTAGTTTTTTTATTTTTTAAAGGCAAATATGAGGAAGGGACATGTTAGAATTGTATAAAATTGTGTGTGATATAATTATCTGGGATGCGGGTGGTGCTGTGGGTTAAACCACAGAGCCTAGGACTTGCTGATTAGAATATTGGCGGTTTGAATCCCCGCGATGGGGTGAGCTCCCATTGCTTGGTCCCTGCTCCTGCCAACCTAGCAGTTCGAAAACACTTCAAACGTGCAAGTAGATAAATAGGTACCGCTCTGGTGGGAAGGTAAATGGTGTTTCCGAGCACTGCTCTGGTTCGCCAGAAGCGGCTTAGTCATGTTGGTCACATGACCCAGAAGCTGTATGCCGGCTCCCTTGGCCAATAAAGTGAGATGAGTGTCGCAACCCCAGAGTCTGTCACAACTGGACCTAATGGTCAGGGGTCCCTTTACCTTTACCTTTATGTGTGATATGGATGGAAGTTAGTTCTCCATTAACACAATCTGGGATCATCCAGTCAAGTTGACTGGTGAGAGGTTCAGGGCAGACAAAAAGAAATACTTTTTCATGCAACATATGCTTAACTTACAGAATTCACTGCCATGTGGTGGTCCGTTGATGGCCATTAGCTTAGATGAGTTTACAGTGTGATTGCACACAATTGTGGACTGTAAGCCCACCAATGGCTACCTCCAAAATCAGAGGTAGCATGCCTCTGAATATAACTTTCTGGCAAACAACAATATGAGAGGTCTTTATGTCCACTTTGGAAACCTTATAGTCATGCTAGACCAGATTAGTCTTTGGGCTTCTCCAGCAGGACTTTTCTTATGTGCAGTTGGAATAAATGAGGCTAAAATAACTTTGCCACGATTGAGTAGCTGAATATGAAATATTACTTCTGATCAAAAGGTTGCAACAAGGCTGAAACATTTTGCTATTTTGTGTGATAAGTAACAAGAACAATTTCTCTCTCTTTACAGAACCACCACCAAATTTTACCTGGTTGGCTGTGATACTTGTTTTATTATTACTTGGTGTGATTCCTGTAATTCTGTACATAATGTACTTTAAGAAAAGTAAGTAATGGGAAACATTTAATTAATTGATTATTTAATTTTTTCAATTAAGAGAATTCTATACTATTCATCAAATGTGGTTAAGGGTGGTTTACAAAAATAGATTAATATGAAACATAATACATGCACGTATTCATTATTATTAAAGTAAAATTAGTATTTTTGTGAAATCTTAATCTTTGGTAAACTTAGGTCTGAAATGACAGTATTCAAAACATCCTAGGCACCAGTACACCAGGCACCAAAAAATCTCCTTGCCTGTGGTTAAGAATTTTGACTAAGTTTTCTTTTAAGTGGCTAAGATTTCTTTGCTGAATCAATTGGGGAAGGGCCATAACTCAGTGATAGAACATCTGTTTTGCATGCAAGAGGTCCTAACTGGTTAGTTCTAGCTTCAGCACTATCTTGGAGATGGATGGCTGTCAGTGACAGAGTGGTGGCCCTATGCCCCAGATTTATCTGCTCACTAGAAAAGACTCATGGAGTCTATACAACTCAAGCTACTATTTGACATTGCAAGTACTCAACTAGCAACCAATAACATCCACATAAAGTAAGTCCTGGAATCGACCCTGAAGGTCATTTAGCCCAAGCCCCTGTCACAGATAAAGCACTCTTTCTCAGCTCTTTTGCTTCATTCTACATAATACAGAAATAGCACACTGCAAGATTCTTAATTCAGGACTACAAAGCTAACCAAAATACTTGGGTGGGATATGTACAAAAGGAATAAGAAGGAATGCTTAATCTGTGGCTACCCTGCACTGAACAGGGAGTTGGACTGAATGACCTTTAAGGTGTTAAGGAATATAGCTAGTGTGTTAATTTAATTTCCAAAATGCACCTGGCTCAATTTGACTTCTTTATCAATTTACTGGGCAGATTTGGTTGCCCAGTCTTATTCCAGGACACGTCCTCTTTTTCAGGGGTAAAATTTCTGTCCGGGTAGATTTTTTAAATTTGCCCAAATGTCTCTGGCTATACTTTCTGGATGAGACATAAGACTTGCTTTCCTTTTCTCTTCTCCTGTCCCCCTCAGCAATATAGCACAGCTTCTATATCCTACATATAGTAGAGATATTTAAAACAAGTCGTCATAGCGTCCTCTTTGTTGCTCTTCAAAATATGGCTAACTTAGTAAGCATGCTACTATATGTATAAAAGGGCTCGGATTAGAGAATTGGTTGTGGGTCAGTGGCTGTTATCAGGAAGGGATGGATCATTGTGAAACACTTTGAGGAGCGCTCATCTGAAAAGAAGGCTGACATGTGGATTTTGCTCAGCAAGGATTTTGAATTACACAAACTCCTCTGGGACCAAAGAGAGAAAAGCCTTTGTGCAACCTGTATATAGTGTGTAAATATAGAGTGTGTATTTTGTGTGTGCCAGGTAAAACAACTGCTTAAAACAAGAACTGTTTTGGGTTGGTGAGCTAAGCAACTTTACTGAAGCTTCCAGGGCGCACACAGAGAGAGCAAGATTTATAGATTGAAGATAGCACCCCACATCACCATAAGGTTCTTTTAAACTCTTATTATTCTGTGGGAAAGGTGCACATAGCCAGTACACTTCCATCCGTTCTGTGTTAATGGGTACTCATAACATATCATGGTGGCTTCTGCTTAAGGTGGAACTAATCACAACATAGGACATCTACTGCATATCCATCCATATTGTCTAAATAACACCTCTGTTGAGGGTGTGACCTTTAACAGCTGCAAAACCCAGCATTTTGGAGCTTAAGAGAACATGGAACTTAATACAATACATTAAGCTGTTAGGTTTTTTGTTCACTGAACTGTCACTATTCAATGTCTTATTGCCACAGAGGAATTATGGAAGGAATTATCCTCCAAATCAGAATGATTCTTTGTGCAAATTCATATGCTGCAAACATCTTATTAAAATCCCTGCTCCTACCTTCTGGCTTTCTATCATATCATCCCCAACCCTTTAAAGCTTTAAACAGTCTTTGCTGAACTGGCTTCTTAAGTAAGGCTGTTGCTATACTCAACTGAACCTAACCTCAAAAATAAACTCTTCTTAATCTCACTGAGCCAACACTTCATCCAGGACTGTCTTTTTCTTCCAGTTATGCTTTACCTGATCTGTACTGCAAGCACTCTGAATAGGGACTGTGCCACTTGATCTTTGATACAGCATCTTGCATACATTGCTATTCACCATGTAGCAGTCACTAGCATTTACGATAGACTGAATGTGATCATTACAAAAAAGAAAAATAATGCTTTGTTGTAAACTGCAGTAAGAATGTTCCTCTTACAGATGACTTGTTATAATAGTATCCGTTGAAACACTGCTACAAGTTTCTACACCTGAAATTCTTTGTTTTGTTCTTTATAGTTCAACCAGGGATATTTTCAGCAACTGCAAATAAGGAATTGAAACATTTGGAAGAAGCACTGGTGGTGTTCTGGCTGCAAGGCTTTCGTCCAAAGCCTTTAGAAATAGTTTTTTTCTTAAAACTCCAAAGCAGGAATGAAAAACTGAAACTGTGCTCTTGGAATACTATGACAGGCAGCAATATTGAACACGGAGAAGATACACCTCTTATCATCACTGGAGAAGAAGAAGAAAGTTCTGATCTTGAAAAGACTTTGAAGACCATGTTTACCTTTGATCCAGCTTTGCAAGTAAAACAAAGGCGCACTTTTGACGTTTACTGCAATGTCAACATAGTTCCAGATGTAAAGCATATGGAGGAGTTTGAACTTATACTTGAAGTTAGACATGAGGCCTTTCCAGATCGTTTGTCTACTGAAACAATATCATTTAAAGTCATAGGTAAGTAGGAAAGATGGGCTGAAATGATCACTTAGAATAATACTACATATTTCACTGGCTATTACAGTGGTACCTCGGGTTAAGTACTTAATTTGTTCTGGAGGTCCATTCTTAACCTGAAACTGTTCTTAACCTGAAGCACCACTTTAGCTAATGGGGCCTCCTGCTGACGCTGCGCCGCTGGAGCACGATTTCTGTTCTCATCCTGAAGCAAAGTTCTTAACCTGAAGCACTATTTCTGGGTTAGCAGAGTCTGTAACCTGAAGCGTATGTAACCTGAAGCGTATGTAACCTGAAGCGTATGTAACCCGAGGTACCACTGTATAAGAATTCTGTCAACAGATGAAAGGTGAGAGAGCTGCATGAATGCAGTGGGATACTTTCTGCTGCCAATGATGATACACAAAGGGAAACAATGAAGGATTGTAGCTAAACTCTTTGATCAGTCTACAAAAAGTGAATGATAAAATGGGAAAGCAGCACAGGTGGCTTGTGTGGAGATTATTTCTCTTAATCTCGTTCAGTTTGACTAGTTTCTTATAACTTGTGAGCCCGTACGAAGGGCGAAGTGATGACCTTTAAAGCATTTCATGGTATAAGGCCTGCACGGGATTGTGTACTCCCTGCCTTCTTCAGATCAGAAATTCATGTGGACAAAAGAAAGTCCATACTTATTATCTTCTCCAGTTGCATTCTACTTGCTAATAATATCACTTTTTTGGTATGTATACATCTATTTATTTATTTATTTATTTACAGAATGTACTCCCAAAGTCTCCAAATTTGAATGTGAGCCTCCTGTACCAGAGTGTGGGAAACTCATCACATTATCTTGTTTAGTAGAAGATTTCTGCCCACGGGAGTGTGACGTTTGTTGGCTAAGAGGCAATAATGAGCCTTTGGATGCTATAAGTAACACAGAGGAGCCACAACTGGACCCAGGATCAAATCTGTATTGCAAGAAAAGCAGAGTATCCTTTATACCTCAACCAGAAGACCATGCAGTAGACTTTATTGTTCAAATCAACCATTGTAAAAAAGTTATAAGACATAGTTACCCGCTCATGTTAAAAGGTGAGTACTTGGCAAGTTATTGTGCAATGAACCACTACTTGTGCTTTCTGTCTAAATAGTTTATCTAAAACTGGAAATACATAATGGAGTTGTTTCCTGTATCTGTATTTGTTGTGGGTCTTTGATAACTTGTATTGAAAGAGATCACTTGTATCTCTTGGTCATTAGGTGATGCTATCGTGGGTTTGTCACATGGAAAACATGACTCAGAGAGTCCTTGCACAGAAGTATCAAGTCCTTCATAAAATTAGTTTAGAAGTTTTTCTGGGTGAAATCAGCAAAGCAAGTTCATCGCTGATATGTGCATCTTCGTAGGAAAATTATAGTGTCGGCTAGTGGCTAGTGGCAAGCATTATAGTGCAGCCAATTTAAAACATGAATCAATGAGAAATCAAAGCTCTCATCTGTTTCAGTCCAGAAGGTCAAAGATGGCACACTTTATTCCAACCAGAATAAAACACAGCCATGTTTAATCATATGCATTTAATAACAAATAATATATATGTGGGTGTCATATATGTTAGAATATGTTACAGACTGCCAAGGCTCTCCTGCCATTATATGCATACTCTTATCATTTCTCCATATACCGTATTGTGTGGATTTGAACTAATTAAATCTGCAAAGCTTTTAATTTGTAGTTTTGTGAGATTGCTCTGATTTTACAAAAGATCTGTCTCCCAGAGTTCATTGGGAGAAGCCATAACATCTAAACTAGGCAAACTTGGTAGTTTTGACAAGACTGTGATGTTAATTGCTCATTCTATCCTCTAATTTCAACCAGGGTTGTAGTGAGAGTGAAAGGATAAGCAACTGTAATTTTTCCAAATCTAACTCTTTTTGAGAGAGACTGTGTGTATATATCCATGTGTGTATCCACTGAGGATAGGAGTTCATGCATCATATGAAGTAGCCTGTAGTCCATGAAAGTTTATGCCATGATATATGTGTTATAAAGTGACACTAGGCTAGCTTTTGCTGTAACATACAAATGTGACACCCCATCTGCCATTTGTCACTTCTGATTTACTGTTTTGCAATACCAGATGTACTAGCATTCTTTGAATTTAAACTAATATTTTCAATTGTTTGTTTTCTCTGCATCTGCATTTTTTAGGTTACCCCAAAGTTACAGATATTACGTGTGAACCAAATTATCCTAAATATGGAACTACATTGTCTCTAACCTGTAAAGTCACAGATTTCTTTCTTAGCAACATAAATATTCAATGGCTTGATGGGGGTATTGAAATAAGTAAAGGTGTCGACACAAAGGGGCCAGTCAAAGACTCAAATGGCTGCTTGAAGTTGTCTTCTAAGCTCCAGCTGATACCAACTGCTTTGGATCATAATAAGTTCATTATTTTCAGTGTGACGTATGGCGACCTGAAAAAGCCCATTATTAGAGATGTGTATCTAAAGCTCCCAGGTACGTACTGAGAGTCCTTTGGGTTCTTTCAACTTTTGGCAAATGGCAATTTGAGCTTGTTTATTTAACAAAATTTGTAAACCACTTAATTTTAAAAATGTTGTTAAGTGATTGTAAAAATGTCTAAGTGGTTTGCATAAAATAAAATGTATATTAAATTGAGGATCAATGTAGTATTATGATATAAAGCAGTTCCCTTTGCAACAAGGGAGGTTTGACATGTTTGTGTCATGATAGGTGTACCGTATAGCCATGTCTCTACTAGCAGTCATGTGTCCCTAATATCTGCCAGTTTTGTTTGTTTTTTGAAAGTCCAAACTTCCTTGCAGACTTGCATTTAGTAGTTCTGAAGATTCCCTGGCAAAAAAATCAGGTAAATCTAATAAAAACTAAAAAAACACACACCATATGTTCACACATAGGCACTGATGTTACTAGTTTACCCCAAGTTTTTGAAAATCAAAAACCATATTCTCAGATCTATATTCATTGAAGATGAATATCCTTGCAACCCTGCTGATCTGAAGTGTGATTTAAACAATGACACATTTAAATCCTTCATAAAATTCCTGTACTTTTTAGAGGAAAGTTATAGAATAGATTCACATTGGGGAAGGGCAGTAGAATATCCTAGGTTTAGCCCCTAGCATTTCCAGGCAGGGCTGGAAATATCCCCTGCTTGAAACTGTGCAGAGCTGCTGGCAAACACTGCAAACAACACTGAACTAGATGGATTAATGGACTGACTTGGTATAAGGCATATTTTTATGTTCCTGTTGTCTTGTATTGTCACTTCAAGTACATCCTTTCCTTTCCTCCCCATTTAGTTCACCGCCCTGAGATGTCTGAAATAAAGGCAACACCAATGCAAAACAGCGAGAGCATCTCTTTGGAAACTGTCATATCAAATTTTGCACCTTGCAACATAAAAGTGACATGGTATGAAGAATGGGAAAAAATATCTGAAGACAACCCCAGGAACATTCAGATTGGAGAAAACAAGTTAGGTTATTTTGTAAGCAAATTACAGTTTAGTCCAAAAGGAAAAGACTCCAAAAAGACAATCAGATGTGAAGTTTTTCACCAAGCGACACAGGATTTTAAAGAAACAAGCTTTGTGTGGGAAAGGAAAGGTAAGAACTATTTTTTTTTAATGTTTTCAGCGCAGAATGTACAGAATTTATGTAAGGGATTCAGACATATCCCTCCAAAAAACACTGCTAATGGGGGAAAAAGGTGACTCCTCTTCTCAATTAAGCACTTCCGTTACTTAGGACTCAGCTACATTAGTAAAAAAACAACAGTGTTTTAAATGCATTATAAACATGGAACAACAGGTGGCACTGTAGAGCACAATACTTTTCTATGTGTTTTACGTAGAGTTTTTTCTTTTGTTATAACAATTTAATTTATAATTTAATTATAGCGTCCCCCCCCTGTGTGTAGATACACCCTCGGTCATGGCTGAAAGATGGCTTTGTAGTCTTTTGGGTAGCTTATGATTTTCTCATATTTAATAATATTCTTCAGAAGACAAGTGTATCTGGTTGTTATGAATACAAAAGTCAACATAATGCTCTTACAACACACCTGGTTTTAGAAATTTTGTTTTGAATTCATCAGAGAACTAGATTTTGAATTTTTTCCATGAATATTGCTCTGACTGTATCTCTCCCCTCTGCAACCCCCCAAATGCTACCCTTGGAAGGCAGTTGGCTAATTGCAGTTGAAAGCGTGTTGATTCAGTTGAGTAGCATTTTTGCTGTAAGTATTTTTTGTTACGTGACATGATGCCTGCTCAAGGCCTAATATGTTATTTCTTCTTTTAAACAAGATGACTCTGATAGCCTTGACAGCATGTCTACAGTGAGTGAAAACCACGATGAGTATTGCACCTCATGTGTAGGTAAAATGCAGGTACATGACACATTGACTCAGTGGTTTCATATCCTGTTTTTGTAGTCCCAGTTAAAATCAGAAAACTGTTTAGATGTTTCTTGGAGGAGGCAGTGGGAGAAGAGAGCACTTGGACAATCTTTACTCTGCTTATAAACCATTATTTATTAAAGTGAGATCATTACATCTCAACCAGACCATTAAGTTACTCTAAACGTGCACATTATTTTCATAAGGGATGATCTGAAAGATCAACTTAGTCCATTCTGTGAAACTTGTACGCAGGGATCTGCAAACTTTCTTTTGGCATAAAAGCCTGCCACTATTTGTGGCCACAGTGACCACTCCTCTCAGCCCTCTGAAATGCACAAGGAAACAGAAAAGTGTGCAGAGGAGTTCCTCATGTCATGCTTCTATTTATGCCATTCCTATTCTGCTTAATGTATGACAATATATTTATATACCACTGGATAGTTTTTAAAAATCATAAAAATCATAAAACAATAACAGGTTTGACCAAACAACTATGTGAAACATTAGTTTTAAAACAAGTAGTTTATGAATTTATATGCCAACATTAATATCTTAATAACTGAGTCTCTAACAACCGATAAAAGATACTGAAGACATATGAAAGACATTCATATATGCTTAACTGAACAGATGAATGTCCATCCAGACAAAACTACAGATTGGGGCTTGAAGATAAAACTGTAACCTTATATTTATTTAGGGACCTGACATCCCAAATAGTAAGAGTTTTAATATCCTGACTTGGCATAACTGCCCTCTTTCCAGCTATCCTTTTACCTAGGTGTTTATTCTCTCCATCTCATTTGCCCTCGCTCTCCTGTCCTGGTTCAGTTCTTCATCTTCCATCCTCAACAGATTGTCAACAGCTGTCACTTACTTTGACTCCAGCCAGCAATCCATTACACTCCATTGCTGTCAGTCATTCTTACAACAACTCTAGTTCCCCAGTGCCTTGCTATTCCTTTTTAATCCTTAATTGCCAATGTCTTGACTGTAGCTTCCATTCACAGCACTAAGCAGCAGCTGGGTAGGGAACAGACATAATGCAATGTGAACAGAAAGTTCAAATTATCTGACTTGAGGAAAATATGCAAATGATTGGAAACTGAACATCACAATCATGGATGCTTAATGTTAGCGAGATGCCTCTTCCAGGTATGTACTTCAAGAGCAGTTTCCTATTCAATTTCCTATTCCCTCTCTCTAGATCCTAAGCCACCCACTGAAAAACCAGCTCTAGATCCTAAGCCACCCACTGAAGAACCAGCTCAACCTATGAAGATAGAATGTGTCACCAGCAACCCAAAGGCAGGCAAGGTGACTCTTCGCTGTTTTGTACCTGGAATAAGAGCAGAGGAAGCCATTGTTTCCTGGTTTAACGGAGTATATCCAGTTGATGATAAAATACAGAATGAAAACTGTGGCGATGGATCTGGTTTTATTTCGTATGTGATCATTACAACCGAAAAAGATAAGAAAAAATATGAAATCAAATGTGCAGTTTATGTAGATGCAAATGATAAAACCTTGGATAAAACCTTTGATTTAGAACTTTGAGAAATCATTGTATAAAGACAATGAATATACAAAAAGAACCACAGGAAAAATCTACTGCAGGCTGCTTTCATACATCCCCTGCTTGCTTCCATGAGGTGTGTGGGTCCTGTCGGTCCTGTTTTGTGGGCCCCCACAAAATTGATGGGCATTCCCATTCAAATGGTGTGTGTGCATTGCATCATGTGATTGATTATGTAGGGCGGGGCTTACCTGGGCTCTCACAAGATTTTATTCAAGTTGGCACCCCTGCTTTGAAGCCCTATGTGAAGAAAGCCTGCTTAATGAGGTTGTAATGTATATTATGTGATATAATGAAATACTGTATAGCATAATATAATGTATGGGTGATGATGTTGTTGAAAATCTCCACTCTGGTTCAGTGATAAGCTGTAACAGGATGGTGGTAGAATTTTCAGTACACAAAAGAGGGACTGATGGTAAGCATATTTTAATTGGTGGATATATCTAGCTGAGCACTGGCCAGCAAAGCAAGTTCAGGAGTAGCCGTTGAGCAGGACAGGAAAGAGTCAAAATAGAGTTGCACTTAAATAAATCAGTAAAGGACCTAGCCAATGGTAAAAGAAGGGCCAAAGCTCAAGTGCAGACCTTGCTTGCAGAAGGCCCCAGATTCAGTTCCCAGCATCTCTCAAGTAGGGTTGGGAGGCACTCCTGCCTGAAACCCTGAAGAGCTGCTGCCAGTCAGTGTAGACAATATTGCGCTGGATAGACCAGTTGTCTATCTCAGCGTAAGGCAGCTTTTGTGTTTCTATGTCTGATAGAAAAGGCTTCCAGCAGTGACCTCATTGGTTAAGGCTTAACTGGGATGGAAAGAAAAGAAGCAACCTGTATTACTATGTTGAAGTAACTAGGTAACGTTGCCCATAATATTGAAACAAACAAATGTTGGTATATTTGCTTAATGTAATAGCTAATTGCCTTTATACTGCACCTGTACTCTATTGTCACTAGGTTATTGGTAAGTTAAGTGTCTAGAGGGAGTAAGGGATGGTGGCCATGGCACAGATTTAGGAGAACTTTTGGAGTGGAAGTTGAATGTTATCATTGTAGAGAAAGTAGGGGGGGATCCCTTCCCTCCACACCCTGCATAATGGCTTGAAATTCAGTTTTCAGAAGCTTACTCCCAAACAAACCTGCCCAAGTAATGAGCTCATCTTCAGGGGCCTTGATCAGAAGTTAGACAGCTGGCAGAAAGGGGTGGGGGAGCATCTTGTAGAAGTGTCTCTTCAGAGATGTACAACTGGTGCCAAATAGGGATGTGAGCACTTGCAGCAAGGAGCACCCCTGCTCAAATTAAAAAGCAGTTTAAAGGCAGCATAGTCACTCTTGGAAGCTTCCTCCCTCGATTCTGCTCCCTCAAGCCCTGAGCTCTGTGCCTTCTATCACACCCTTGAGTGTCATGTTCAGGAGAGCTGCTGTCCTGCCATAGGACTGTAGGAAGTTGTCTTATACTGAGTCAGACTATTGGCCCAGGTCACTTGTTTAGTCGTTTAGTCGTGTCCGACTCTTTGTGACCCCATGGACCAGAGCACGCCAGGCACTCCTGTCTTCCCAGGTCACTTAGTATTATTGATACTGACTGGCAGTAGAGTTTCAAACAGAGCCCTTTCTTAGGGTCTACCTGGAGATGCCATGGACTGAACTTGTAATTCCCTTCCTTCCTCCTTGATTCCCAAGGTGAGTGTTTTCTCCTTGAGGACAGGTAGTGAGCATTTGCTGAAAGTATTGAAGACTGCAACAGTGTCATGCTATTCAGGTTTACTCAGAAGTAAGTGCCATTGTGTTTAGTAGGGCTTATTGTTGCACGCCATCCCAATCTCCTAGCAGTGTGAGATTCCAGGTGCTTACCTGGGGCGCAGGTTTTCTTTGGAATGAGGGACAGCAGAGACTGTAGTGACTTCAGTATATATGGTTTATTTATAAATATATACAACCTGAGCCTACGATGGAGAGGCTCACAGCATGGCAGACTGATGTTCTGAAAAAGTTGTTTACTACATCAGGAGACTGAGAAGCAGTGCTTTTCCCCCCTGGGGGTACTCAAGGGTATGCAGTACCGGTGCCTTTTTCGTCTTCAGATGTTAAAAGTGTGGCACATGCTGTAACAACTTCATGGTGAGTACTGGCACCCTTTTTCCTTAAAAAAGAGAGGCACTGCTGAGAAGCTTTCTAACTAACAGACCATTGAGGTAGGGGCCCCCACCCATTTGGCCTCTGACACAGAGCCACTTCCTTTGTTACCATAGCAGCGCATACAGTGGTGCCCCGCTAGACGAAAGAGTTTTCCGTTTTGGAGGTGCTTCGCAAAACGAATCTCCTATGAGCTTGCTTCGCAAGACAAAAATGTCTTGCGAGTTCCTGCGGTTTCCCCCCTCCCCCTTTTTCTAAGCTGCTAAGCCGCTTATCCGCTTATCCGCTAAGCCGATAAGCCGCTAAAAGCCACTAAAAGCCGCTAATAGCGCTAATCCGCTAATCCGTCAATGGGCTTGCTTCGCAAGACGAAAAAACTGCTAGACGAAGAGACTCTCAGAACGGATTCTTTTCGTCTTGCGAGGCACCACTGTATTTAGGTTGCCAGGTACCAGGCCTGGTTATACCAACAATTGAATCATTGCGGGATCCAGGAAGTAGGACGGACTCAGGCATACAGCCTACTCCCCTCCCACCAAAACTCTCAACAATATTTTTGTACACTGCCTTTATATTTTTCATGCAATGTCTGTTTACAAATGCTTTTATAAATAAATAAAATTATCAGCAAACCTATTCTGGAGTTGGTAAGTTCTGAATGTTACTCATGGTGAGAACAAGTAAAATGAATCTAAATCTCTACTGAAAACATTCTCCAGTTTCTTAGAATTTTCATGTCAATTCTTTGTTTTGAATGGTGATGAAAAGCTAACATCTTTTCCTGCTGTGGGCACTTTCCATTAGTGCTGTGACAGATATTACAGTAAAAACATAAGAAGAGCCCATTGGATCAGGCCAATGGTTCTTTTGGAATTGTTAAGAATGGTTACTGATAATAGTTTCATTAATCTCCAAATAAGGAACAGAATACAGTAAAAGTAAATAACATCAGAAGATACTGTTGCAATAGAAATGGATGTTCTATCTTAGCTCCAGATGTTTCAAGCAAGTTAGGCATTTGATCTACACATATAAACAGGTCTGTGTAGCTTGTTAAAATGTAAGTACCTGTAAATGCACAACTCCATATCAGGTCAATTGGTTAGGTTTTTTCCGGACTATTGTGCGTAGGCTGCTCAGAGCATTATTTAAAAGAGACTTGGTGCTGTTAGAATTAAGAACAAGCATAATTCCAACTGATTTTAAACATTTGAATGGGATATTCTGTTATTACTTTAAAATGGTTTGTGGATGGCATGATTCATCTTCATACAAGTGCAGCCATTCACCCATGGAGGAATCAGGTCAGAACCCTGTTCCAAACACATACCCTCATCTTAACATGCCCATCATTGTTTTTTGAAAGGCAAGTAGAAAGCAGCTGATTTAAAATACCTCAGTCTGGCACCACACCTGATTTAGCATCCTTAAAAGTTGACCATGCTTCACTCTTTGAATGGGTGTTTGCAGTTTCCCCTCATCTGAAGATTCACGAAGCTTGCAATCTCCATAAATTCCTGCTCGATCTCTTCTTGTCTTTTAATAGCCTGTGTCTGGGACAGGGACATGCCATTTAGTAACATGTATCCCATCTTGCTACTGAATCAAAAATAGTACACAGAATCATAGAGGGAGTCCATTAAACATTTACTGCTTTGAATTTGCCAACTGGCTCTCCCAACTAGTTTTCCCCTGAAGCAAAGCTGCCATAGCTCAGAGTGCAAGGATTGCTTGAAAATTCTCTCCATTGTCTGCCCTGCCTAATTTTTAGTCCCCCAGAATGATGCTTGCCTCAGTAAGGCATGCTTCAGGGTAGTCGTTTTCCGTTTAGGATAGCCTCTGCACCATTTAGAACTCCAAGGGAGGTAGAACTTTCACTGATTCCACTTCTTCTATGATAGTATGTTAGTAATGGAGGGGAAATCCGCTAGATGGCACTCTCTTTAAGAATTTTAAACATTAGTAGGAAATCTCTTACAACCTGAAAAGATTTCTGTGGAGCCTCTAAGGCAAATAATAATAATAATAATAATAATAATAATAATAATAATAATAATAATAATAAAATACTCAAGGGCTGTATCTGGTTCACAGGCTGATGGTTGCATTAAATCTGTTCAAGCAGATTTAGATCAAGAAAATATTTTTGTTTTCTTGTCTTGCTTTTAAGACTTGCAGCTGATGAAATAATCAAGATAAAAACAGCAGCCTCAAACTCTTGAGTCCCTTTATTCTGAACCTCATGATTTTCTTTCACTAAAATACTATATTTCATATGCAGGAGGTGGAAGGAACCTGCATTGGAACCTTGCAGTCCAGGAATAAAATTTATATAAAATTTTCAAATGCATGATTTTACTATGAACAATACCTTTGTGGGGATTTTTTCAGTACTAAAACAAGCATTATGCAGGCAACAGTTCAATAAAAGATACAGTAAAAGACAGTTATAAAAACTGAGTAATAAACAAGCCTTGTGTTTATTATATATTATTAGTACTACTCAGTAGGCTACCAAGAGACAGCTCACTGAAGGCAGGCACTTCTCTGACATGGAGATCTTCTTGAGGACATACCAAAGGCTTGAACAACCGTGATCTTATTTCACTGAACCTGGATTCTTCGCATTGGTAACTCATGAGGAGGCAAGTAGTTGTGAATTTCCCTCCTGCCCTTCACAGAAGTGCTGTCTTTAGTGAAGCAAGCAATAATGGAAGTCTTGCTGAATTCTGTGAAGCCAAAATTCTCCTGTTTATTTTGTGTGTGTGTGTGCTGACACCTCAATCAGCTCCTCCTCCATTGGCAGACTTTCAGCTTGTTCCAGCAGAGCTGAAATATTGCTGTGAAGGAGCTGCACAGCGAAGGACACAGACTTTTAATGTGTTCAGTTTTCTCCTAAATGTTCTGCCTTGTGAAGGCCATACCAAATCTGACTTCTCATTATTTAATCTGTCTTGGCTACTCATTCAAGGGCTCCTGAGGTTCCAGATTTGCCTTTATGGCACTGGTTCCAAACTTCTGCAGCTTTAAGGATCCAACAATTAAATGCCAGCTATTGCTCTATAAGGGACGCAGGTGGCTCTGTGGGTTAAACCGCCGGAGCACGTTTTCTGTTCTCATCCTGAAGCAAAGTTCTTAACCTGAGGTACTGTTTCTGGGTTAGCAGAGTCTGTAACCTGAAGCGCATGTAACCCGAGGTACCACTGTAGATCTTTCAGAGGAGGGATGTTCTCTGGTCCTCTGCAGGGTGTTGTTATAGGGTATGCAGGATAGAGCAACAGATTCTGCCTTGTTTTGCCAAGCATAGTTTAACTGTCCATCTTTTGCCCCACTCTTCATCTAACGGATCAAGGCAAGTTACGTTTCTAGTTTGAAGTATGTATCTAATGTACATGAGGATCTTTGCAGCAGCAGAACTAAATGGACAGTTGCTGCTGTCAACAGGGAGAACAGATAGGCCTGGATTCAGTTCCCTACACTCCAAATAGATTAGTGTTGTCAGAGTTGGCATAGCTGATCTTCTCCTTGGCACTGCCCACGTCTTCAGCCTTAGGTGCTGGATGTGGGTATTGTTGATCACCCCACATTTCACATAGCACTTTTTGCCTTCAAATACACCATCTAGAAATGAGATCTGTTTCCACAAGCCTCCTTCCTTGGATACATCACCCTTTCTGGATACAGAGTTATAGTGTAGCAAAGCTTGGGTTTTTCTTTCATTATATTGGGATTTAAAAGCTCATATTTTTCTTTACTGAGAGAAGCTGATGAAAAACTGATATAACTTTGCTTGTATTGTGTTTGCCTCTCCTCATTGGAATTCTTTTTAACCCCTTGATTACTAACCCGTTGGGGTGGGGTGGGGGGGAAGGTTTTGGTGGGATTGCTCCTACCCCTCCTGCTGCTAGGACTCTTGCATTTAGCAGGTGCGTCATGGACAGAAATGCAAAATCAACAGGCATGCAAATGCTGTGATGAGAGAAGCTTCAAAGAGCATAGAATTGTAGAGTTGGGACTACGAAATTCATCTAGTCCAATCTCCTGCAATGCAGGAATCTTTTCCCCAATTAAGCGTCTCATGCTCAGTTGCAACGTTTCGCACAGGAAAAAAGGAAGTGGCAACCCTATTTCTGTGTGAAATTAATTTTACATTTATATTTGTGTGCGCTTTTTTGGCATCAGAACCACATTTCATAAAACCACTGTCTAGTGCTTTCTTGCAATGGCATTTATATTGCTTTTTCAGATTAGGTTAATATGAATCACTGAACATCCCTCAAAGCATATTTGTGGCTTGCATTTGAAAGACCATTAATTTGAAATGAACGAAAAGTTATGTGATACAATTCTCATTTTAGCATGAGATGGTACGTTCCAAGCCATTGTTCTTATTCAAATTGCATGCCATTTATTAGAACCTTAGGACAGAACTGATGTTTAAATCAATCTTATTTAAAGCACTTTTTAATATTTCTTTCCTTCTTTGACATGTTCCCATTACATTTAGAAGATATATTTATCAGAGACGTGATACTTGGGCATTTGAGTCAATAAAACCTATTTATAATTGCATTTATCCAAACTTTCTACAGGGGCTTTGCATGCCCTAGTCAGACAGGTGAGGTTGTAATACAGGAAGTTCAGGAATAAACCAAGATGATCAACAACCCACATAAGGTCTGGATTTAAAATAATTTTGGTCTAAATGAGGCTGAATCAATTTTGATAATAAATAATAATAATTATAATAATAATAAATATCAGCTAACTGTGCAACTTTATGCCTGTCTACTCAGAAGTACTTAGTGCCAGGTTCTGTGGGACTCCTGTGTAAGTGTGTACAGAATTGGAGTTGAAAAGCAAGTTGACTTTTTTTTTATGGGCCAAGGTAGTCTTCACAGATTTGCCACCTTGTGTGCTGACAGCACTTCGATGTTTCAGGACAAATACGCCCTCTGTTCAATTTCTATCACTAAGCTGGTTAAGAATACAGAAGCCATCATAACAGAAGAAAAAGGTACATCTTTACACGGAACTAAGATGGTGAGTATGCTTTAAACTGGGTTGTGGACTGAGCTAATTGATAGGTTACAAGAGCTACAGCGAAGTAATGACCGGGGGGTAGGGGTGTGGGGAGATGC